GTCATCTTCGCTGCCTGAAAATGCGTTGGACAATGTGTCGGCTGTTATGGCTTCTGCCAGAACTCACATGCAGGTTCCACAGTTTTCCGAGGGTCCAGAAAATTTGTCGCCATTGAATGGGCATATTAGAGTCGGTAGTAACTATAGTAGTGGCGGCGCGAGCTGTTAAAGCAACAGGAAGAATTCAATCAAAGGAAGCCATGAAGTGAAGCATTCATGGGATTCAGCAAATGGAATTGAGAGTGCAGCCAAGTTAGAATGCGCTGAAAACTCGACGTTTGAGGTTTGTCTTTTATGCTCAACACGGTACAAAATTTCTTCAGGGTACAATAAATTGCATCCAAGAAGATTTTTCATGCAATTTTTTTACACATTGGAACGATGGTGATATTTATACGTTTTGGTACGTGACATCAAGCCAACGATACTTTGTGTTAGTGTCTGTGAAGTCTGTGTTAGTGATCATAAATGAGGCTAGTGATACAAATGCGTTGAGATTGGTAACATTTAGCGGAATCGCGTCTCTATTTTATTTGCAAGGGATTTCGATCAAAGCATATATTGTCATCGAAGACCTGAGAGTAGTATTAGAAGTTGAGGCTTTTAGGAAAATTGTTCCCAAGAGTTTGCGAGTCTTATTAAGATCGTTACGGTGGAAAACGAACCTTCTTTTTGTTTCTAACCCTACTTGCAAATAAAATCTTTCATTAAAAGTATTCACTTCTGTGCCTTTCTTCTATAATCACCATAAGTAGCCTTGGAAATTTCGTTGCATCTGTTCTCGGCTTTATTTGTGGGCAGTCTTTGTGCTGTTATAAGCGTCAGTGACTGAATGGTTAGTGCGTGAGTCCTAGATGTTGCCGATTTTTACTAATTCGAGGCTTATTTGTATTCTTCTTATTTCAAAAAATATAGCAGCATTTTGTCGTGTTCTCCCTGGTTTTTGCAAATTAGTTGACAAACAAACGCAGATGAGTAGGCATAACAATTTTTTATCACGTTAATGTGTGTACTTTTTGTAGTGCTTGATGACAATGTTGTATAATATTTTTGTTTATGAAAAATTTTCATCGGTTTTTTAGGTCTGTTATTGTTGACTACATGTTCGCCTTTACTGTGTTGGCTAGTTTGCTCAACACAGGTATGAACTTCGATGGAAAGGTCATATTTGGTAGAAACCAAGGTTAATACGATAATTATATGTAAGCAAAACCTTCACGTTTCAAGTCGAACAGGTTGAGAAAAGCATCCAAGTTTCCTATGTCTCAAAGGAAATTGAATGCATCCTGCAAAGTTTTCTCTTGTTAACACATGTAGTTTGCGGTTATTTTACTGTGTTGATTTTTTTAATTCGATTTTATAATTTAAATTAATGTAATTGTCTTTTATTTTGTTTTCGTTTGCTGATTTATAAAACTCCCATTAACCGCTTGTCATGGGTAAGTTCAGTCCCCTAAAGTCCAGTCAAAACCCTTTTCTTTTACCTTTATGCTGCGTCAAAATGAGGAAAAACAACAAAGAATGGACAAGCAAAAATTGCTTAAAACCTTCAGGAGTGATAGATTGGATTGGATATGAGTGTTGTTCTAGTTGGTATCATATCTGTTGTGTAAATACTTTTCATAGCGACTCTAAGAAAATCCAATGGATTCAGTGTCCTTTATGCGTTGATGTACAATCTGTTAACAAAACAACAATAGGTAATGATTTAGTGCTAGACAATTGTTTTAATACAGTCATCTCAAGTATCGGAGTTCTCAAGAGAGTACCAAAAGATTCTCCTGTTCCCTTGGCGGAAAGTCTGTCGGACAAAATAAAAGACATCTTCTGCAATGTAGAAGATGTTACAAAATGGCTTATTTTTTAAATGTCATTCTTGTTTTTTTTGGAGCAACCCAAAAGAAGTGGACGCAAATAGACCACAAGCATGAGCTTTTTGATAAATACAAAAATTCGAGCAAATGACGTGTCACTTCCAAAACCCCATCCACAAGTTTCAAGCCCGCCTCTGAGTGACCTCGAGCAGAGAAAAAAGCTAATAAGTACTAAGCTCGATGAAGGAAATGTAAAAGGAGGGATAAGGCTTGCTGCTTTGGATGAAAAAACTGCTCCTTTTGAACTGATAACTATCAAAAATGTTGTCTAAGCACCCTCATCGAGCCAAACTTGCAGCTCCAAATCCAAAAACTTAAGATAGTTTTTTCGTAACCGACTAGTCAAACAGTTGGAGTCGAAAATTATCATCTGGTATTTAGATGCTGGAAATTAAGCTGACGACTATAAGGTAGTACTCCAGGAACTTAAAAACATTCTGAAACCCGAACAAATTTACGGCCTCAGCTTGAACACTGAGAAGTGCGAACTTTGTTTTTTTTTGGGACCGACTAGAGTACACAGTATAATTCAATTTTAACACAATTTCGAAAAATATGCCCCAAAATAAAAATAAAAACAAAAGAAGAACTCCTCATTTTAGGATCTCCAATCGGCGAATTTTGCCGAAAAAAATTGCTCGACGAAAAAATTGAGGAGCTTGAAAAAATCTCGGATGTCACTGACAAACTAGACGCCAATTTTGGTTTTTACGACCTGAAAAATTGCTTTAGCACGCCAAAACTCTTTGGAACGCTACGATAGTTTTCTAAAAATTTCGTTATGCAACGTCACTAATGTGAAAAGGGATGATAACCAGTTTTCACAAGCAGTTCTCCCGATAGCCAAAGGTGGCTACGGCGTTTCTTCCGCTCGTCTACTCGCTTTACCCGCTTTCATAGCCTCAGCAGTAGGAGCAGGTCTCAGCAGAATTCGACCTGTACAAAGCATAATGTCCTTCCCGAACGGATCAGCAGCAGATCCTGGTAAAGTAGTTCCTCAAATTTTTTAAAGATTTTGTTTGTAAGTCGAATGGCAGTGCATGAATTATTTTTCTGAAATCGCTTAGTAAGCTGATAAACCTCATTGGAGATGGCAAAATACCCGAACCCCTAAGACCTTTCTTTTTTGGCGCAGAGCTTATCGCCCTCATAAAGATAGACAGAGGGATGAGACCGATTGCCATAGGCAACACGCTGAGCCGGAATTGTACTCGCTAAATGGAACGCGCTAAATGGAAGCAAAGCACTCTCCGAGCGACAAAATTTTTTCGGAAATGTACAGGTAGGATGCGGTACCAATTGAGAAGCAGAAATAGCTGCACACTCATTTCGAAACCTAATTGAACACGACGACAATTCAAAAAGCATTGTTCTTTTAAAACTAGATTTTAAAAATGCCTTTAACTCTCTAAATAGAAATAGAATGCTGAGTCATGTTTATTCAAATTTACAAATTTACGGCCTCAGCTTGAACACTGAGAAGTGCGAACTTTGTTTTTTTTTGGGACCGACTAGAGTATACAGTATAATTCAATTTTAACACAATTTTGAAAAATATGCCCCAAAATAAAAATAAAAACAAAAGAAGAACTCCTCTTTTTAGGATATCCAATCGGCAAATTTTGCCGAAAAAAATTGCTCGACGAAAAAATTGAGGAGCTTGAAAAAATCTCGGATGTCACTGACAAACTAGGCGCCCATTTTGGTTTTTACCAGCTGAAAAATTGCTTTAGCATGCCAAAACTCTTTGCAACGCTACGACAGTTTTCTAAGAACTTCGTTATGCAACTTCACTGATGTGAAAAGGGATGATAACCAGTTTTCACAAGCAGTTCTCCCGATAGCCAAAGGTGGCTACGGCGTTTCTTCCGCTCGTCTACTCGCTTTACCCGCTTTCATAGCCTCAGCTGTAGGAGCAAAAATGCCTTGGGCGAATTCTTCGGCTTGGAGCAGGTGGATGGAACCTATGATGATGCGCTTAAGCGGTGGTTTGAACTTGGGAAAATTGAAATGGCTCCGGAAAACGAAATCCAAAAAAATTGGACAGAACCAATTTTTGACAGCGAAATTGCAGACTTGATTTTACGACTCGAACCAACGGACGTAAAAAGATTCAATGCGTTCCAAGTCAGATTTGGCTCCCAATGGTTGAACGTCATCCCGTGCAAAAATTTAGGGTCGAAACTGTCGAACCAACAAATCAGAATTGCAATAGGACTACTATTAGGCTCAAAAATATGCAAACGGCATGAATGCGTATGCGGAAAAGACCTTACCGAAAAGGGTTGGCATGGTCTATCTTGCCTCAAAAGTGCAGGGTGAGTCTCTAGTCATTCGATCCTGAATGCCCTTACAGAGCAGAATTTATCTTCTACTCACATTCCGTCTGTTTTAGAACCACGACACCTCTGCATGACCGGGCAGAAGCCACCAGACGGTTTGACGCTCGTTCCATGGGCTGTTGCTAAGCAGCTCTTGTGGGATGTAACAGTAGTAGACTCCTTAGCTCCTTGTAGGATTAATGCCGGGTGTGTTTGTAACCCTGGTACGGCTGCCGCTGAAAAGGAAGAACGAAAAAGTGACAAGTATAAAGATCGAGTAGATGATCGGTATCTTTTTCAACCGCTAGCTTTTGAGTTTCAGGGCGTGGCCGGCCTCAGCACTGAAATTTTTTTGAGCAAGCTTTGTAAGAACCTAAGGATATGCACTGAAGAACCCAGAGCAGGCAGCTTTTTAAAACAACGAATCCCCCTGGCAATACAGATTGCGAACGACGCTTGCGTACTCGGAACAATAAATGACGAAATAATTTTCGACATTTTTTTTATTTGTAACACTTGTATATTATATTTTCTCTTGTCGAGTTGCGTGTTCTTATTGAAGAAACTTCACCCGTATCGATTTTAATTGTAAGGACACCAACACTTGTCATCTTCTTTGATCATTATCACTTCCATATCTAGAAAATTTTAAGGATTTTGACAGGAATACGTGATGAAGGGACTCCTGACTGTAACCTCGGTTACTATGATACTTTTGACTTTCTAAATACCCTAAAAAGAGGACAAAAAATAAAAGAAAAAACAGAAGAAAAAAAGAAAAAAAAGTAGAAAAGGTTGGATTGTTTTTTTTCAGATTCAATGGCTTGAGCAATGAAGAAGCCGAGTGAATCGAAGCAGTTCAAACACCTGGCAAAGTAAGTAGGTGTCCTCTTTTGTTTCATTTTTGACATTTTTATATTGAGTTTGATTGTTTTTCTCAGTTTCTCTGGAAATTGTATAATTAACAGCGCCCTGCGCAGCATTAAATTGTGAGTATTTTCATTTTAGATCGGAAACGCAGCATCGAAGGTAGATCAAAAAACCATTGGTTATTTTTAAAGTATTTGAGTAACTAACATCAATCATTGCCAATGGACTGAATAACCATATTCAAACCCTTCTGTGAGATCCTTTCTTACTAACGGTTGCGTTTGCATAATTTAACTACACCATAAATTTCATCTTTTTCATTCCCAGGTCATCTTCGCTGCCTGAAAATGCGTTGGACAATGTGTCGGCTGTTATGGCTTCTGCCAGAATGAACATGCAGGTTCCACAGTGTTCCGAGGTGCCTGAAAATTTGCCGCCATTGAATGGGCATATTAGAGTCGGCAGTAACTATAGCAGTGGCGGGGAGAGCTGTTCAAGCAACAGGAAGAATTCAATCAAAGGAAGCCATAAAGTGAAGCATTCATGGGATTCAGCAAATGGAATTGAGAGTGCAGCCGAATTCGAATGCGATGAAAACTCGACGTTTGAGGTTTGTCCGTTATGCTCAACACGGTACAGAATTTCTTCAGGGTACAATAAATTGCATCCAAGAAGATTTTTCATGCAATTTTTTTTACACATTGGAACGATGGTGATATTTATACGTTTGGGTACGTGACATCACGCCAACGATACTTTGTATCCTTGTCTCCACTAAAGTTTGTGTTAGTGATCATAAATGAGGCTAGTGATACAAATGCGTTGATATTGGTAACATTTAGCGGAATCGCGTCTCTATTTTATTTGCAAGGGTTTTCGCTCGAAGCATCTTTTGTCATCGAAGACCTGAGAGTAGTATTAGTAGTTGAGGATTTTAGGAAGATTTTCTCCCAAGAGTTTGCGAGTCCCATTACTTATATATTAACAACGTTACGGTGGAAAACGAACCCTCTTTTTGTTTCTAACCTTACTTGCAAATAAAAGCTTTCGTTAAAAGTGTTCACTTCTGTGCCTTTCTTCTATAATCACCATAAGTAGCATTGGAAATTTCATAGCATCTGTACTCGGCTTTATTTGTGGCCAGAGTTTGTGCTGAAATAAGCGTCAGTGGCTGAGTGGTTAGTGCGTGAGTCCGAGATGTTGCCGATTTTACTAATTCGAGGCTTATTTGTATTTTTCTTATTTTAAAAACTAGAGCAGCATTTTGTCGTGTTCTCGCTAGTTTTTGCGAATTTGCTGGCAAAGTAAACGCAGTAAAGTTGGCTTAACGATTTTTTATCAAGTTGATGTCTGTACTTTTTGTAGTGCTTGATGACAATGTTGTATAATATTTTTGTTTATGAAAAATTTTCATCGGTTTTGTTAGGTCTGTTATTGTTGACTACGTGTTCGTCTTTACTGTGTTGGCTTGTTTTCTCATTACAGGTATGAACTTCGATGGAAAGGTCATATTTGGTAGAAATCAAGGGTAATACGATAATTATAAGTAAGCAAAACCTTCACGTTTCAAGTTGAACAGGTTGAGAAAAGCATCCAAGTTTTCTACGTCTCAAAGGAAATTGAACGCATCCTGCAAAGTTTTCTGTTGTTAACGCATGTGGTTTGCTGTTATTTTACTGTGTCGATTTGTCAAGGTACAATATCAGTTTGGAAATATTTCAAAGAATCCGTTTGACGGATAAACTGCACAGTAAATGCCAGCTACAACAGTCAGCTACGTTTGTTGAATCTGCTATCACGTTTTCCTTAAATGATTGATAAACTTTTGGGCATCGAAATGAAAAATGAAGCTGAACGTGTCAAATTTATCTTAATGTTAAGTTGAGCGGTATATTATAGTGACCTCATGTCAGTGTTGCTAACAGTGAGAACCAGATAGGTGAAAGTCTTCTTAAATTCTTTCTGCATGTATCCCAAATCAATTTCATCAATCGAAGAAAAGTAAAAATATAACAGTAGGCCAGGCAATTTCCTTGAAACCGTCCCTGTACCAAAGTTACTCCCCTTTGACAGCTCTTCACCTTTACTCAACTCCTACGTCAGTAGATTAGATTGAACCATCCCCAATGAACCCTCATTTCTACACCCCTCACGACACCACCAACCTCTTCAAATGGCTTCAAAAACCGCACCAAACTCACTACACTTTCACTCTCGAGTGCTTCAACGGCCCTCACGACTCCAACCAGCTCTTCAGTTGTGCCTAAAACACATCACACTTTCTTAAATTTCACTCTGGTCCAATCCAATCGAAGCTTCTGCCTGCCCCAGGTTGGACCAATCCTCAAGCAAATTAGTTGAGCTCGTTCCTGATGACCAGTGTCGACTCAACACTAGCTCATAGTTCAGGCTTTAGAACCAAAACTGTTCCGCTATCTGTTGCGCAGATACGGTATAGACAAGAAAGACACCACCATCATAGCTAGCTATATATATTTGCCTGTTTGACGGCTTGGGCGTTTCACCGAAACATGTGCCGCAACTAGAGTCACCGGACGTCAGTTGCTGGAATCGGGGTCCTACCTCTACCCAGAGGCACTTGGGTAGGGGCCGCAGTGTGATACTTAGACGAGACGGCATAATAAACAGCCGTACCCTGGAATATAACCATAACTGAGACAACAAATTTTTGTATGCAGAGTTACTGAACAATCGCACAAACCGTTCCACAAGCAATGAAATCCCGTTAAAAGTTAATTCAGTGGGTGCAACGAAATTTAACAAAAAACTGATTGATTCTTCAAAATTAGGGGTTGATAAGCAACTGGCGTCTTTGAAATAGTCAGTTTTCATTAAAAGACACTGAATAACTACTAAAATTAACCTTGAGGCGAGTATACAATCAGGTACAGGAGCTACAATCATATCGAGACGCAAAACTGGCTATATCAAGAAGATGCACTGCACATAGATTTGTTCTGGAGCTGTCGATTAGATTAAAAATGCGACCATGGATTACCGGTTCGAATACAGGCTAGACAACAAATATCTTTGAATTGTTTTGTTTTAACTTATTGCAAAACCGGGAGGCGTGCTGCTGGAAAAAGCAGGCTGCGAACGGTTTTTGAGAGGCGACGAACAAAGTGAAGACTCTTATAAAGGTCGTGATGGTTTGAATGTTGATTTCCATTAGAGATCGAATCAAAAATTATTTACTCACAGTAAAGAAAATCCAATTAAAATGTGCTGATGGCGAAAAAAAAACGTGAATGACTTGTAGAAATTGGGATTTAATTTTCAGAATTCCCAGCGGAATACATAAAAACGATTTTTTGTTCCATTTTTGTTATTAAATTAAATCAGTGTGATTTAATTTAATAACAGGGGCCGCAGTGTGATACTTAGACGAAACGGCATAATAAACAGCCGTACCCTGGAATATAACCATAACTGAGACAACAAATTTTTGTATGCAGAGTTACTGAACAATCGCACAAACCGTTCCACAAGCAATGAAATCCCGTTAAAAGTTAATTCAGTGGGTGCAACGAAATTTAACAAAAAACTGATTGATTCTTCAAAATTAGGGGTTGATAAGCAACTGGCGTCTTTGAAATAGTCAGTTTTCATTAAAAGACACTGAATAACTACTAAAATTAACCTTGAGGCGAGTATACAATCAGGTACAGGAGCTACAATCATATCGAGACGCAAAACTGGCTATATCAAGAAGATGCACTGCACATAGATTTGTTCTGGAGCTGTCGATTAGATTAAAAATGCGACCATGGATTACCGGTTCGAATACAGGCTAGACAACAAATATCTTTGAATTGTTTTGTTTTAACTTATTGCAAAACCGGGAGGCGTGCTGCTGGAAAAAGCAGGCTGCGAACGGTTTTTGAGAGGCGACGAACAAAGTGAAGACTCTTATAAAGGTCGTGATGGTTTGAATGTTGATTTCCATTAGAGATCGAATCAAAAATTATTTACTCACAGTAAAGAAAATCCAATTAAAATGTGCTGATGGCGAAAAAAAAACGTGAATGACTTGTAGAAATTGGGATTTAATTTTCAGAATTCCCAGCGGAATACATAAAAACGATTTTTTGTTCCATTTTTGTTATTAAATTAAATCAGTTTTTTCGGTTTTCTTGAATTTATTGATTCTTGTTCAATTGTCTGTTGGCAATGTTATTGGTTCTCAAAAGTGGAAAGTTCGGTTTGGGCTCTCTTCGACTTGAAGTAATGTTTGATTGATGTGTATTCCATCTTCTGAGTATTTGACTACTGTTTTTAATGTATTGTTTAGTGAAAACGAAAATTTAACTTAACTAAAAACTCTTTTGGCCGACCAACCAACCCATATTATTGTGTATGAAATAGTCAGAAACTTTTCAAAAATGCCCCCATAAGCATCATTTGTGGCACATTTTCTCAAAATGTTTTTGCCGCGTTAAGTTTTTTGCAAAATTGGGTTCTTTGGGTGAATTCGGGAGATAAATGTAGTCGACCTCATAAAAGGTCAATAATCACCACCCCAGAAACTCATGAGCACGCCAGTGCACAAATCAATTTACGAAATACTGGATAGAAACTTGATAAAAGTTAATGCATTTGCTTAGACGGTAACTGAAGATAGCAAGGCTGGGCGTTCATTCTTCAAGATGTTCCCTTCTTTATACGAGCTGCCAATTTTGCATGCAAGTAAGTCAGAACTGCATCACTAACAATAATTGCCATAAAACTCACTTCATAATAGAGACTGACCGCTGTACTGTTTGTTCAGATTTTGCGTGTTCGCTGGTAAAAGATACAGTTCCAATGCACGGAAGAATGTTTCTCACGCCTTCATACGTTTGCTTCGTGTCCAAATTATTCAAGAAAAAAGTTAGCAAGCTCAAATTTTGCAAAAAATAAGTAGCATTTTTCTGTAGATTCGCAGACGATTCGTTGATTTGCCAGATTTGCAGACTATTCAAATATTGTTTGCATCAAAGTTTGTTTCAAAAATCACATGAAAAAAGCAGTAATAAAATTCAACTAATAAACTTTCTAAAATGAATTGTGTTAATTCTTCTACTGTGCTTCAAACCGGGGAAGATGTTATAACTGTTTTCATTAGTACGCAATCAGATTGTCCGAAGTTCTCTCAGTGACGAAGGAGAGATCTGCTTTTGTGGTTCCGAACGCAATCAAAGTGGTTACTCAAGTCCAAAAATTCACCTTCGGATCGCTATTCCGTCGCCACACCACGTTCAAGGTACGCGATTGAAAATTGTTATAGGAATCAGAATCATAAATATAGTGTCAGTTTCGAAAAATTTAGAAACGCGCAAAAATGAGAAAAGCTGGAAACCTTTTCACCTTTTTTGGAACTGAAGTAGTATAGCTAAACAATTTCAAAAAAATCGCGAGCTTGAATCATTTCTGAGAATTTAAACAAATAATTCTTTCGTTTTAGATTCTGACAATTCTGTGGGGTCGAAACACTTCTCAGAAAGTATCGATTGACTGTGACCAATTATCTCTGTGCTCATTGGCCAACGAGCACAGCAACAACGACATGTCCAATCAATCACAAAATGACAATGAAAGCAGACCACACGACAATGACTTGAGTCAAGCTACGACAGGCAGTAATGCGGATTCTTCGTTCTTAGAGGACGAGCTTTGCGGAACAGGTAAAATTAGAAATTCAACTCTTATCCCAAATTCGACTTTTATCCCAAAGTACTACCAAGAAATTAGTTTTTGTAATAAATCAAGTTTTTTTGAAAAACCTATAGATGTTCAACAAATGATGTCATGGAAAACATTGTTTTGTTTATCTTTGATTTTGATTTTTAGATGACAAGAATAATAATCTGAGTCAACCGGGAGCATCGAAGGGCTCTGGAATTGTAAAATGTGGCGAAGCGGAGTCTTTATATGCAGACGGAACAAAAGTGAGCGAGGGTAGCAAGCTCTTTTTTAGCGCGAGCACGGATGACGAAGGACAGCAATCAGCTTTAAATGGTGCAAATTATGCTGCTAAAGTGAGTTATTTTGACTTGTTACACTGTTTGATCAATCGTTCGAATAATCGGAGTATCATGACACTATATAAAAAGTGCGAATCAAAAACGCGTAATTTGAAAGCGGCGATAAGAAACGAAGTTTTCGCCCATTCGGAAAATTTACAACCGTTTTGTTTCAAGATTCGTACTGAGAATAGATGTTTCACTGCACGAATATTGAGCTAACGATAATTCGAAATGTGTGTTGTAACTTCTAACCTACCAGAATGGAGCTTTGGAAAATAAAGTCAAGAAATTCATGCCGAAACAATTTTTAGAAGAGTATAGAATATTTTTCTTGGCCTTCTTCAGACGACGATGTTGACAAGTTTTTCCATGTGTTGACGCTTGCGATTAGCAAGCAAAATCAAACTGGAATATATACTTTTTTTTGGGTTAACAACTTGTTCAACAGAATCATTTGTATCTTGGTTCATAATGAATTCAAACTTCTATGAGTGTCAGACACTTGGAGGTGAAGAATACGCTTGGGACGCCTAAGGTCATGGGTTTTAATTTGGGCAACTTTTTTCACACTGGTAATATCTTTTATTAAAAGATATTGGCCTATAGTTTGTCAGCTTTTGTTTTGTCGGCTTAGTTGTCACACCTGTGGAATTGATTTTGTTGTACGTAATTTTCAATGTTGCTTTTAGTATTTTGAAACATCCTCCAATTGTTTATTTTACCAGCCTTGACTTCTTAAATTTTTCTGTTTTTGTTTTTTATCCGCTTAATGACTTAGTTTTGAGTCGTTTCAAGGGAAACAAAATTTTAACTTTTCCTTCCGCATTTTTCAAATTGGTTTTGTTTACCAATCGTTGTGTTGAATTTTCTTTTTTTGATTTTGGTTATTGTAAAAAAATTTGGGTTTTTCTCAGAAACTTCTGATTTTCAAAAAAGGGTATCAATTAAAAGGCCGTCTACCTCCGTGGGGGAATATTTCACCTATACTTTTTATTTTTTTTTAGTTTGCTCAAAATCTGAGTGTTTGTTTTCAATAAATAGAAAGGCCGCCTACCTCCGTGGGGGAATATCTCACCCATACTTTTGATTTCTTTTCAGTTTGCTCAAAATCTGAGTTTTTGTTTTCAATAAGTAGAATGTTTCCGAAACGCTCCCTGCATTAGTGTCAATGTCCAAGTTTTTTTACACATAAAGTTATGGCCCTCGGAATAATCAGATTCTTGATTTTTGACCGTTTCTTAAAACTTTTTGAATATTCTCGCGAAATACCCTCCCAAATTAAATATTTCGAGTTTAACGGAAAGTACAGGTTGAGTGATACCATTCTGCATAAGCAGCTGCGTCCTCTTTTTTATGCATAAAGCTATGATTCTCGGAAAAGTCAAATTTTTGATTTGGACCGTTTTTTGGACTTTTCTCGCTAACTACCCTGTCAAATCTGATATCATAGGTGAAATCGCACAAACATGTTGTTGAAAGCCTACCCTTATAAATGGCTATGTCCAGTTTGTATAACAAAAACGTTATTGCGTGCAAGCAAATCGAAGTTTTGAAACACTGAGTTTTTTGCAAACTTTATTAGACAGTTTTTTGCAAACTTTGCCAATTCTCCGGTATTCTTCAATCGATAAACCCGGTTTTGGGAGTTTTCTCTTTTTAACCGGCCTCAACCTGCTCTTTGCAGGAAAAAAACCTGGATTTTGGAAATTCTTTTGACCGTTTTTTAGAACTTTTGACCGTTTTTGGAAAGTTTTTGATTTTTCTTAAATTTTACACGAAAAAATCTGAGATGAAAAGTTCGAAAGAAAGAACCGATTGCGATAGTGGTTTCTGTAGAAGCAGCGGCTCCTTATTTTTTTTCTAAGAAAAATGTTATCTCCTTGGGAAAATTGATATTCTCAATTTTTTTTTTACTCCTCTCACTTATTTTGATAGAAACAACTATGGTTTTGGGCAAGGTGTAAATTTTGAAATCACTTTTTTGTGCCGCATCAGTATAGCAAATTCATTCAATATCAAACACATATCTCCAGCTTCAGCTGGACCCCTAGTTGTTTTTAATCTACACATACGAACATTTTGGTTCACCTAGTTTTTTGTGTTGTATCGCAAGTGGTGCAAAGCTCCGCTTCGCCGCTGTGTAAATTGAACTTTCATTTTCAGTCATCTCTTCTTGATGATGGCAGGATGAGTGGGTCATCGTACCACCTGACTGCAACAGTGAGGTACAGACCGAATTCTGCCAAATCAGCCACTGAACCCGATCAACTGATCGCTCCCGATTTAGGTAAAGTGATATCTGTCGTGATGAACCGAGCAAACGCTTATTAAGAATAAACGTAGTCAGTACTTTTATATAGGTCTTGCTGATTTTCTTTTTTTTTTTCAGGAAAAAGTCTTATAATTTGTTCACGCTCAATTTTGATTTTTCGTGGTTTGACTGGTGATTTCTTTTTAAGTTCAGCGCATTTCCATCGTTAAAAGGAAGGCAAACTCCACTATCGAACAGCAAAATTGTAAAGGTCACGAAAAACGTGATCAACTTATAATTTCGAAAATGGAAATTAATTATCAGATTTCCCCACGAAATAAAAGTTTTACCTATTGATCCAGTTTTCTCAAATTTGGTTCATTTTAACAAAAAAGTGTGCATCATAAATTGATCTACAAATTTAAAGGGCTTTAAGGCCATCTATTTTTCTTCGAAATTTAAAAGTCTTTTTTTTTTCAGTTTCCTTGCGTTCATTAGTATTTTCCAACTCTCAGTTGGCTATGTTTATACTACAAGTTCAGTTTTTTTTTCAGAAGCTCCGCTCAATCTCAGAGGCGGATTTAAAGGTCGAGCATATAAAGTTTGGGCCAAATTTTTACTTATACATATTGCCTCGAAAATTCAATTTGCTCGACCTTAAAAAAGATGACAAAATAATCGAAAATCCGCTCCTTGACTCTCTTGTTGAGTTTACTCTCTTTTGGTTTCTTTTAATCCTTCAACCTTACTGAAATCAAGTTCAGACATTTGATGCACAAGATAGCATCAACAGGTGGGTTGATGAGATGTTAATCTTGAACCGCTGTTGTGCCTCTGATTTGTGCTAAATTACAAGTTTTGTTCTCTTTTTCTGAATCAGTGTTGTTTTGTGTAAAGCGACTAGCACGGATTTATGGTTGTTTATAAATAATGTTTTAAAAATGTTGAGGTCAAGGTCTCTAAAAATGTCTCGGAGCTATGGTTTGTCGAAAAGGAATAGCGTTAGTTTTTTTTTTCAGGGAATCGTGAGGTAGATTTAGTGAGGCGGAATAGTTCAATAATAAACCAAAACTCAAACCACCACCCGACGTTGCAAGACGATTACAAAAGCACCGCGAATCGACACAGCAGACTGAATTCTACCGAAGTGGTAATGAATAACAGATATTCTCCTAGAAAGGCAAGGAAGGGGGTCAGGGCAGTGACGAAAGAGAGCGAGACAACGGGAACAGTGGAGGGCGGTGTGCGAGTTGTAACGGTTTACAAGTGCCAAAACTGCGAGAAGTAGGTGGAGTTGCTTTTATAGATAATGCCGAGAGCGTTTTAGCTTAAATAGTGTTTTTGAACACCGTTTTTACAGTATTAAATAAGTATTAATCTGAAAACTGAAACCGCATTGAGCAATTTTAGTGAGGTTTTAATGAGGCCTTGACCGAAAAGGATATTGCCAACAATACTAGAATCAACTAGAATTCAAAAGTTAAAAGGAAGGCAAACTTCACTATCGAACAGCGAAAGTGTAAAGGTTACGAAAAACGTCATCGACTTCTAATTTCGAAAATTAATTATTAGATTTCTTAGCGAAATAGTTTTACGTATTCATCCAGTTTTCTCAAATTGGGTTTTTTTCCTAAAATTGTTCTAAAACCTGAAAGAGCTTTAAGGCTATCTATTTTTCTCGTGGAATTTCGGCAGTTGAGAAAAACAAATCAGTTTTTTTTTCCTCCAGACAAATTTCGACTTTTTAACTAGCCATTTTCGAGATATATTTTTTTAAAGTCGAAAATTATAATTGCTTTGAGCTCCAATTTGAAAAAGACATTTCATCTATGATTATTTTTCGGGTTTAAAGATTGCCAATTTGGGATAAATAAGGCGCGATATATTTTGTGTTATTAACGCGTAAGTGGAGTTTTAATCTGTCTTAGAAATCGTTCCAAATTAAGTTGAGGCATACTGTTTAATCTATTTAATACTTAGCTAAATGCGAAATGTATTACGTTTTACTTAACATAACGTGCGGAGTGATAATTTTGGCAAAAAAACCTGAAAAAAAAAACGTTTCAATTTTCTCTAAAGTGAACACTACTCCATAGACTTCAAAGAGCAGTCGGAATATTTAGGGCTTGTTATTCAGACATTCGAAGAAAAGGAATATTTAAGAACGCGAATTATTTACGCCTGGCGAATTATCCCGCTCAACAAAGTCGTTCCAAATTGAATTGAGGCTAGCTAATCGGTCGTATTGTGTTCATACGAATCAAATTTTCATTGTTGATCTTTGATATTGTCCAAATTTTATGTTTTTTCAATATTTTCTTATCAAAAACTATTCGATATGGGGTAAGGGTCAGTCGGAACGTTCAGGGCTTTGCCCTGGTATACGAGCAGTCTTGCTGTTTAGAGTTTCGAAGATAAAGGAATATTTAAGACCGCGAATTATTTATGCGTGGCGAATTATCTCGCTCAACAAAATCGTTCCAAATGAATTGAGGCTAGCTAATCGGTCGTATTGAATTCGTACGAATTAAATTTTCTATGTTGATCTTTGATATTGTGCTGGTTTATGGTGGTTCAGTATTTTTTAACCCAAAAACTATTCGATATGGAGTAAGGGGCAGTCGGAACATTCAGGGCTTTGCCCTGATATACGAGCAGTCTTGTTAGGCTTTCAAGAAAACTGCATCTCTTGAAAAAAAATTAACAATTCTTCTGTTTCAGTGCCAACAACAGCAAAAATAGCAGTAGTAATATTGGTTCGGCATCTCTGGACCCCCTTATATACCTTTTGGTGATGTTGCTCCTCTTCTTGACCACTGTCTCTGCCTACTTCACACACAATCTGTACCTGGTACACCTAAGAAGAAGTGCCCTGGACGAAAGTGTCTCTAGGTACCAGCTGTTGTCCGCTAAAATAGAACTTCATTTGTAAATGTCGATTTCTGATTCAAGCAAGAAAATAAGAAAATCTTTTTAAGGGCTTAAAATGTAGCGCTGAACTCTTTTTGTGGTCCCGTAAATAATAAGACAAGTTAATGATTACTGCCAAACTTTGAAGTTTCATGTCTCTCAGAGCATTTTATGCGCAATGAGTGTTACATTAGTTAAAGTACAAGATCAAAGTTGCATCTTAACTCTGGTCTGATACTGCCTTAGATTTCTTTCTGGAATGGATTTGGAACATCTTGACGCTCAATCGGCTCCTGTGGAAGATGAGTTTGCTAGTCTGGACATGAGGGAAAAAGTGCAATTGATGATGAGTCAATCATGTGCAATCAATCAAGCTAATTATGATCAGTTTGCTCAGATCGTGCAGACCAATAATCAACTTCTTAACAATGTTAGTGTTTGTGTTAATAATGACGTAATATTTTGAACAGCTACTAATGTAAAACAGTGAAGCATTTTCGCAACTAACATAAACCGTCGAAATTGTTCTGGGTTGTGATTGCAAGTGGTTTGTAATCAGAAATCAAACTTTTTTCCTTCAACAAAATTTAACAAATTTGACTAAGATGTGGTGACCGTAAAAAGTGGTGTCATACTCAGTTTCAGTATCACGAAATTTGAAATTAATTAACAGTTTTAATGAATTATTGGTGCTATTTTTGTTGATATAGTCTCAACTTAAGGTGATAATTATTTAGTTGTGATTAAAAATCGATGAACGTAGCGAAAACTCTTATAAAGGTCGTGATTGTTTTTTTTGAGGAAAAAGTGACATCAGATCGTGATTTTTCCTTGTTGATTTTTGATTTCTTACGCTAGTTGTTTTTTTTAGCTAACTCTCTTTCCAATAACAAAAGTTTACGCTGCACGAAAAAAAGTAATTGAATCCTAATTTCAACCGATTGTTTAACTTTCTAGATTTACAAGCCGAATAAAATTTTACTGATTTATCCACTTTCCTCAAATCAGCTCAAGGAAATATTATGATTGCAATTTTTTTAAAACTGACAAGCATCAATTGTTCTGATACAGTGCTGATTTAATTTATCCGGACAAAACGAACAAAATGGGAAACTTTAAACGCGTTTTTCTCAAATTTGGTTGATTTTAGAACAAGAAAAGATTTTGTGTTTGGTATAGTAAAAATGGCATTTTTTGGCTATCAAGCAAAACTTTGTTTAATCAAACAGATTTTTGAAGAAATAGGTCTTGGTGATTTTTTTAGGAAAAAGTTTTAAAAGGCTCTAATAACTACAGATTTGCATTCATACAATTTGATGCATTTGGGTATATAAGCACTTTTTGAGTTCAATTGAAATTCATCTGCTGAAAGTCACATAAATAGCACTCTCCAAATACGAACGTGGAAATGGCGGGAAAAAAACGTGAACGATTTCTAGTTTCGAAAGCGGAATATAATTTAAAGATTTCCAGCTGAATAAAAACTTTACCTGTTGATCCAGTTTTCTCAAGTTGGTTTAAGGTTATCAAAAAAGCACTAGTCATAAATCGTTCTAGAAATTCAAAGAGCTTAAAGGATCTATTTTTTCTTTGAAATTCGAAATTTGAGATTTTTTTCAACAAAGTCAGTGTTTTTTTTTTCATGTTTACTTGCGTTCATGACCCTTTTCCAATCTTCGATTGGTTATGTTTGACTAAGAGAAGCCAAAATGTCCCAAAGATAAATTGCACCATATTAATTCTGGTGAAGTTCTGAGCAACTTTTATTCACCTCACTTTTTGTCTAATGTTAACCCAAATTGAGAAAAATGCGTTTAAAGATTCAGATTTTGTTAGTTTTGTCCAGATCGTTTTAATGAGCACTGTAAACAAACCTTTGTTCATTAGCCTCATGTTTTTGTTTTCAGATTCAGCAGTCGTTGGATCAAGCTTTTTCTCGGTTCTCGAATCAATCAGATATTTCTCGCTTGAATGCGCTTCTGGAACAAATTCGCGCGGACGGTGGAGCAAATTAACTAAGGATTATACTTATGGATAAAATGGGTTCAGATACATATCAAGCTGTTTTTTTTCCTGGAATTATTGTCAACAAAAGAAGGGATGATCATTTCAGAATTGCCTGGAAATCGAAGATGTGATTCTTCCTTTATTCGCCAAGTAGATTGATATTTATTTTCTTTTCTGATGCCTATGTATTTAGCTTAAATTTTCATAATCATGCTTGTTCACGCAGCGCGTTGATTGCTAATCTTGATATTTAAAATTTGGAAAAGTTTGTCATTTGATAATTACGTTATTACGTGTATTTTTATCCGCATTTATTTGTGCATATGTGCTTAGTACCCACAGAGTCGGGTATTTTGGTAGTATAAATCCAGCCTACTAAAATGTGGAAAAAAAACCTCAAAAGACACTGATGAAATTTGTTTTTGAAACCGAGGAAATTCCATTCAAGATTCTCAATAGAATATATTTATTGAGTGTCTGTAAACCGGAGAAATGATAGCTGTGATGAGAAACGTTCAATGTGTGAGCAAAGCAATAGGTAGAAACTCAGTTGAAAGATTTGTTATAAGATAGAAATATCTTTTATTTTTTAATCAAAAGATTCTTTGGACGTATGGATTTTATGGACGTGGCTTCCTTGTACATGACAGAGATCTGTCGATAAATTTATCAAGTTTTTTCGTTAGAGCATTATTAGCTATAAACTTGAAAACGTTAAATTTTTTATGTACTCTCCAATTTTGACTGTGTTTATTGCTTTATTGTGTACTACTATGATAGAATGGACCAACAAAAAAGCAACTATGATAGACAGGTCCCTATGATAGAGTGGTCCCAAAAAGCAACTATGATAGACAGGTCCCTGATAGACAGGTTCTAATTTTGAAAATTAATTTATGTATAAATTATTCATTATAGAAGAAGAATTAATTTCTCGATGTTACTTATTTTTTTATCAGATGAAATAACTCTAAATACATCAGTAACAAAGAGCGAACGGCTAACGGATCCATAAGGGTTGCCAAGTGCTGCCCTGAATTTGTTTGAAATCAATTTAGATACAACAGTATACACAAATAAGCAAGCATAAATGCAACAGTTGGCGATAAAGATCTTGCAAATGCCAAAAAAAAATGCATAAAAAAGGGTATGTGGCACCGTCTCAACAAGTTGTGCACCTACTGAACAATATGTGGTTCGATTTGAAGGAGATTAGCTTTATTGTAGTATAAAAAAATCTGGCGTATTATGTTGAGTCAGAAACCATTCAGATTAAAAATTGTAATTACTTTATTGTTTATATCAAGGAACATGCTCGCTTCAAATTTTTTTACGGTTTAACAAGCATAATTCAGACGGTTTATTTGTCATCAAAACGCAATTTTGGCGATTTTTTGAATTTTTTAAAATGTTGAGGGGGAGGTTTTAGGAGAAAAGAAATATGAAATTTGTTTGAAAATATACTGCGAAATCTTTCGGAATTGCGAAATCATAATTGTTAAACGATTTCAGAGACGTAGGTGTCTTATTGTCATGGGAACTGGTTATTTTCTTGAGACCGCTCTATCATAATAGTAGTACATATTATTGTACTGATTATTTCAACTCAAATAAATTGGTTTGCCGAAATGTCTTCAAGTTGCACCTCCAATTTTTCTTAAATTTTATCTTGAAATAGACTTAATTTTTTCACTGCATCCTGAAAATACTAATTTCTTTGAAATCAATTAATATACAACAGTTTACACAAATAAGCAAGCATAAATGCAACAGTTGGCGATAAAGATCTTGCGAATGCCAAAAAAATGCATAAAAAAGGGTATGTGGCACCATCTTGCGCAAACTTTTGAGACATAATCTTTTTATGTAGATTTTGGAAGTGTGATTTTTGCAATACTACAAACTGTTAAACCAATCCTGCTGACAATACGTAATCCTAGCAATAATCAGGGTTGAAATGTCAAAACTGCAGATTTTCACCGGAGACTTGGTCGTAAAACTTACCAATACCTCGAAAACGTAAAAGTTTCAATGCGATCAATGCCAAAAGCTCCTGGCCAGTACTCGAATCATCATATAGGGCAAAAAAGATTAACCATGGTTTTCGATTGGAATGCAGTATTGGGGACAAAGAAGAGTTCAGTGACGTTTTCGACCACCCGAAAAGGCACATTTGTTTGCGAAGTAGTTTTCATCCGTTTTCAATAGACAGTTATGGTGAGTAGTGGTGAAGACTAGACTGCCGGGCAGTGTGGTATTATAGAGAGCTCTCGACGTTTTCCACGCATATACACAGTTGATGGCAAAACTCGACGATTCATTCGTACAGTCTGCGTCTTCTCACAGGTTGCAGCGAACTGATGCTCTTGTTTTTTGGCTCTCGCAAGGAAGAGTTTTGTTGGGACTCAAAATTCCAAATATGACTTTCTACTGTCCACTACAATTGAGAGCTTCCACTGCAGACGGCTTCAGCTGAGATAAAAATCTTCAAAATTGTTTCTCCCATAAAAAAGGATTCTCGAGTATCGATTTTTCATGAAAACCAAAACTGCAACAAAGCCACCTGATGTCTGTGGTACACTAAAATGAGCACACATAAAAGGCGTTGAAGCAATTTTCCTAAGATCTCAATTGCAATTGCAAACGTAACTTTACAAATGACTTTTAAACTTTCCTCGTGGAGTTTCAAGTCTTCAGGACAAATCTAATTGCTTCCTAACTGTCTGCCACTTTTTGCAAAATACTTTCGTGAGTCATAAAATTTTTTCGAGGATTCAAAAAATTTGCAATGGTTTGAAAACATTTTGATCCCTTTTTCTATGTTACGCTCGAGAAAGAGCCTCTGCTGCAGAAGATGAAGTAGTATGTCGGCCTTGGCATCTTCCATCCGAACAAGATGAGCAAAAACGGAAAACGTATAGCAGTGCACGATTGATACCGGCGTCACCTGATAAGTTGGAAGCTGCATGCAGTCACCCTTCATCAACAAAAAAGCACCGCCAAAAGACAGTTTTTTCAATCATGGCAAAACTAAGATACACTGTTTTCTTCAACAATTAGAACATGTAGTTTACTTCCTAAGAATTGAGGCATCCGGTCATAGTTTTTTTTGGCGTGGGCTTTATCAACGATTGCTGGAACTTCAATTTTTTGAAAAATCGATATATGCTCTCCTCGTAATTGATTTATCCACCGAGCAGCCAGAATTGTTACCGTTGAAACCAGGCCACAACCTGCTTTTTGCAGAAAAAAGTTATGGATTTTGAAAAATCTTTTAGCCGTTGTTTAGAAACTTTTGAAGTTTGAAATTTGCACAATCAAATCTGAGATGAAAAGTTTAGTGAAAGAACTGGTTGCGTTAATTGTTCCTGCAGAAGCGGCGGTTCCTTAAATTTTTGTAAGAGAAATGAAGTCGCTTTGGGAAAATTGATTATCTCAAATTTTTTACTCCCACTTATTTTAGTACATGAACAACTAAGGTTTTGGGCAAAGTATACTGTGTAAAATTATATTTTCATTTTATGACCTGAACTTATTTTTTTGGTCTAAGGTACTAGAGGCGTCCGTCCGTACGCGAATATAGAGTGGGTGAAACGAGACGTTGACTGAAAATACCTCGAGAGTAACTGAAATTGTCATGCTCAGGGTATTTTGGGACATTTCTTGAAGTTCTTTCAATTTTTCTGATATCGCACTGTGTCAAGGTGGTTTCTTCAAAAAATTGTGTGAAAAAGAAATAAAAAGTCATCGAAGTGGTGTTAAATAAAATTGCTAACTGAAACGCGCAAAAACTCAAAATCATGATAAGCAAAACGATGAAAAGTTTGGATAATAATGAATAGTCATTTTAAAATGGATTATAAGTCATACAATTTTTTTTACTTGATTATACAATTTTACTTTCATGCAATTTTTCGATTATAATTGAATAAAATCCATCAAAATTGATTTTATTGTTTAGAAAAACAGTAGCATAATTACACTTGCGTCAGCACTATTTTGAACCTTCTTTCTTTCTAATGTAACTCGCAAATATAAATGTTCATTAAAAGCGTTCAATTGTTTGAAAATTTCACTGAAGCGTTGACAATTACATAACATCTGTTCTCTGCTTTTTGTGGCTTGTTTTTAGTGCCTATTAAGCGTCGGTCAATGAGTGGTTAGTGTGTGAGACTCTTAATCTTCAGGTCGCAGTTTCGAATCTGAGACCTAAATGGTTTTTTATTGATTCGAGGCTTATTACACTTGCGATAAGCAAGCGTTATTCAAACTGAAATATTTCAAAATTTTTCTTATTCCCTTTTATAGAGCTGCTTTTTGTTGCGTTCTTGCAAGTGTTTGCGAAGCGAAGCATCGCCTCTGAGTTATCCTTGCGAGCCTCTCCCCCCCCCCACCACCTCACAAGCATCAATTTTCTGATGTATCGAGGGGTTTTAGAAGGTTAAAGATGAAGACCAAATATGTTTGTCATTGCATAATTAGTTCCCATGCCAATTTTTGTAACATTCAGATAACGGGAACAAAATTTCACTAGTAATCATTTGAAGGTGGGGGAAAGGAAAAAGAGCCCCTTGCGATAAGCAAGGGTTTTTCAATCGGGTACTAGATTTTTTCCCGTAAATAACTTTGTGCACAGAATGTTCAAAATAAGAATTGGTAAATTGAAGTTTATTTCATAATGTTTATCAAATTTCTTAGCATTCCCGGCGCACTTAGCTTGAAGTTAACCAATACGCCTGGGACGTCGCAGGTCCTCGGTTCGAATCTAAGAGGGTCTGTTAATAGGAAAAATTCCGTTGCAAAAACAAATTATCGACTGATTACAAACCTGGTTCATGTATAAGATACAGTAGATTTTCGTCCAGACCTCAACAGCAGTTTTTCGTAATAAGTTGGTTGTTTGGTGTTCAAAATAAATTTTTCAAACAAATTATGCACGGATTGCTCAAAAATGGAGATGCCATGCCACAGATTGACGCCTTCTTGGTCTCAGGTCTAGCCATTTTGTAAACGTATAATTTCTGAACCAATTCATATCTAAAATTATCTGGCTTGAAAGTTATTAAAAGCTAAATGTTTGCTTGTAGCTAATGTCAACCGAAACTGATCAAAGACAAAGAGAAGCAGATTCAGAACCAGTTTTGCCGGCTTAGTTGGGTATCGTAAAATTTTCTTGCTGTTCGCTATTAACATTGAAGTTGCTTTAAGTGTTCTGATTTATTTCTGATATTAGTATTTTTACTATCCTTGACTTCGTATTTTTTTGTCTTTTTTTGCTGAAAAACTTTATTCTGCCCTAAATAATTTCGGCTTATATATTAAGGGAAATATTATTTTGATGCTCTTTTCTGGATTGCACAAAATGTTAAAAGTCTCAATAGAATATATAGTTCAATTTTTTTTATGGCAAAATTTTTTTCCAGCTTTTTCCCTATTTTTTTAAAAAAATTTTCCTTCTTAAATCTTGTTGGTTTTTTCTAATTAAAGGGTTTTGCTGATGAATTTTCGGCTTTGTAACTATTTGATTAATTTATGTTCATCTTTTTGTTTCAAAACTAGCCTTATTTATTTCGATCGAACTAGTTTTACCGATTTTTTCCTGCTTAGCGGCTTCCTTCATTTGCATCGCAAGTGATGCGAAGCTCAGCTTCACCTCTGTGTAGATATTTTGGTTTTCGCTAGCTTTTTTACAAAAGGTTTTAATTGAACAGTTTACATTTGTGATGTTTTGACTACAGACAAGATAATTAGAGATTCAAGAATGAACAAAATTGTCGCTGATTTGCCATCAACAGGAAAAGTTCTAGAGTTTACAGGATATGGAAAGTATTCTAGGGCAACCGAATTGAGAAGAAAGAAAAAAGCAAGAAAGAAAGAACGAAAGAAAGAAATTGATATCAGAGCTTTCTTAAAACACAAAAAAATAAGTGCAGTTGCTTTCACACGTTCTGGCTGATGTGCTCAATTTCCTCAAAATTCAACTGCCTCTTAAACCATTTTTTGTGGTAACTAGTTTTTTCAATTATATTTTTTGAGAAAATGTTGGTTTCTTTTCTGTCGGCTGTGGTTTTCTGTCGGCTGATTTCCATTTTTTCAAAAACAATTAATATTATCTAGTATGTTTTTCAATCAGTTTTAAACAAATCTTGGGTTTTTATTTTTTGATTAAAACAGCTATTACGATAATTGAAAGTTGTTCTGTAGCTGTTCTCTTTACCAATTCTTTTTTGATTTTTTTTCCGGTTAAACGGGTTCAGATAATGCTATATCGGCTTAGTGATTTTATATTGCGTACTTTCAAGGGCAGTTATGCTTTTGTGTGTTTCAGGAGGGATCGGCCGTAAAAAAATTGAGCTTGAAAGTTTTATTGCTTGAAAATTTCTTACGGCTAGTTTTATTTTCGATTTAACTGGGGTCGACCCAGTTTTTGCCGCCTTAGTAGCAGCTCCGTCTTTGATTCTCAATGTTTGTTAAAGCTGTTCATGAGTATTATCCATAACTATGACATCATCCTGTTTATGATCATTGTGACAAATGTATGAAATTTTTGTTGATGTAGTTTTTTTTTTACTTTTTCTTGTTATTTTTTCACTTTTTTCTTTTCAATGTCTTTAAATGCAATGTTTTAATTGCATCGCAAGTATGGCGAAGCTCCGCTGGGTTTTTACTGCTGTCTGGGTTTGTTTTCCAGATTTTTTCAAATCCCTGAGTTCTGCTAATTTTGATTGATCAATTTAGGCATATTTATTAACAAACGTAGATATTTTCTCGAAAAACTTAATGTTTTTTTTTCAGTCAGTTTATTATGATGCTTGGCAGTGTTATTGATCACCACGGCGCATCATTCACGTGTTTCGTAATTACAGTGCTGACATCACTTCTCAAAGTACTTCTGTTCCAGTGTTACAAATCAACTGATTTTGAAGTGCACAGAAACTGGCTGGCAATAACGTACACGTATTCTTATGAGCCGCAGATGTGGTACTATAGTAATGTGTCGCAATGGACTCTTGACTACCCGCCTGCCTTTGCATATTTCGAGTGGGTCCTGGCAAGATTTGCCAAATTTGCCGACCCCGGTGAGTTTATTAAGTTCCGATCATGAATCCTAAATTAAACAATGCACACATCGAAGTCGGAGCAAGTATGATAGATGGGTTCTATAAAAAATGGTTCCGAAAAATATAGATCGGTCCCTGAGGAAATTTTTATGGGCCTGAAATGATTCGACCCCCTGCCGACCCAAAGGGTCCCCCCTTTGATACTTTTTCAGAAATCAATTTTTGGCCGGCCGACCCTAAAATTTTTCTAAAGGCGCCTTCGGCGCCAATATATACTAACTTTGAGGGGGATCGCGCGCCAAAAAAAAGCGATTTTTTTGTCAAAATTGTTCAAAAAGTACCCAAAAATTTGCCTGCGGCGCACAAAGTTTAGCCAATATAGGGGCAAAACAGTGCTTTGGGTAGAGCTCGAAAAATCAATTTGGTCGACCTAAAAAAAAAAAAGGTCGTCAAAATTTTGGAAAATTTTTTGAAAATCCGCCCCCCCCCCCTCGAGAAAATCCTAGATCCGCCCCTGCATACTTGTGCCGTCTAATACTTACAGTTTAACAGTTGGAGCAGTTTGAGTCTCACTTTTAATTGCTAGATGCTTAGATTATTTTCTTCCCTGTTTAGAAATGCTGAACATCAACAACTTGGATTACGATTCCTGGAATACAATCGTCTTCCAGCGAACTTCAGTCGTTCTTTGTGACCTATTCTTAGCCATATTCTCTTACCTTCTCTCAACACAGCTGTTCTATGGTAACAAAACCCAAATAGTATCTTTATTCGCTGCTATTTTCACTTTTCCTGGTCTCATTTTAATTGATAATATTCACTTCCAATACAATGCATTCCTATTCGCCTTTCAGATTTTGTCTATATACTTCATCGTGAAAGAGAATTATATCAAAAGTGGCATAACGTTCGCAATACTGCTCAATTTGAAACATATATACCTCTATATATCACCTGTTTATTTCATTTTCTTGCTGAAAATTTACTGCTTCTCAAAAAGTTTCGAAACTAAGGAAGTCAGATTTCATTTTCAAAATTTCGTAAAATTGGGAATATCAGTTGTAACAGTTTTTGTGGTTTGCTTTGCGCCATTTATTTATCACTTACCTCAAGTGTTATCTCGTTTATTTCCTTTCAAACGTGGACTTACACATGCTTATTGGGCGCCCAATATTTGGGCTATTTACAATGCAATTGATGTTGTCTTGGCAAAATTAACGGGCATTAAAGAGAAGAGTGGCTTTACGTCAGGACTTGTAGATGATCACAAACATCTAATTCTGCCTCAAATAACACCTGGAATTACTTTATTTCTATCCGGATTGTCAGCTTTTCTTATTTGCTGGCTAGCTTGGAATAGATTATTATTTAGAATAACGACCGATAATCCGGAAGCAGAAAAAGAAGCATCCAAAGATGCTGGTAAAATCCATGAAGTAAACCATTCTATTTTCATTTGTTTCACAACATTAATAGCATTTTGCTCTTTTTTATTTGGATGGCATGTTCATGAGAAAGCAATTCTGCTAGTGTTGGTCCCATTTACAATCTTGGTATACATAGTTAACTGCAACCCGGTTTGGTACGATAAAACTAGCAGCAAATTAAAAAGCTTTTCAATGTTGAGAGAGCTAAATTTATCGTATATGGTCTGTCTAATTGCAGGTATCTTCTCATTGTTTCCGTTACTTGAAAATTATTTCGAAATACCGATAAAATTTTTCACTCTCGTTTTGTATTTACAAGTTTTTCTTCCTCTATTGTATTCGCCCATCAAGTCATGGTACAAAAGTGTTTGTTCCGTGTTTGTTGTTGTTTACATTTCATTGTTTATCCCTTTGTTTATTTATGTCGACGTATGGACCAAAGTTTTTATTGATTCAAAATTTGCTCCTCTCATGATGACTAGTTTGACATGTTCAATTGGATTAATTGGGTCTTTTTTGATGCTTCTGAAATTGTTTTATTCCAATCAATTGATCAAAAACTTGATAACTTCTAAAGAGAAAACACAATAACGTTAATTAAACTATACTTCCTCCTTGTTTTTTTTTGTAAATAAATAAATAAATTGAATTCCAGCAGAATCACAAGCCTCTACAAGTTTGGCTATAAAAATAGTAAAAATAGGTTCATATGAAGCTAGCAACTCTGCCTAGGGTCAGCCACATTGACTCGCCCTCACGACGCTGACCTTAATGTCTGGGTATTACAAATAGATTCATTTTTTTGAAGAAAAACCAAAGCAGATGGCGAATAGAAACTTAAACTGATTCAATTTTTTTTACGCTTATCTCATTTTTTTTAGACTATTCCGAAGGAAAGTCTCTTAATACCACCAAAGGTAGCAGTAGTCGGTATGTAACCATGAAACTGATCATATAACTTGGAAAAAGTAACAATTATCAATTTTGCTTAAAATTGCACTAACAAACTCGTTTTGGTTCTGAAACTCGAGAGTCGTATGCCACGGCTTCAGTGGTTTATGTGCACATGAAACTGCGCTGATCGTGTATGTTACTGCGTGCAAATAGCCTTAATGCACTTAACAAGTTTTAAAATCATTACCTCTCATAACACTAATCAAGTATTATTAGGTTTCGCGCGGAATGAGATGTTGTTTTAATCGTTTTTGAAGCCTTGGAAACATTATTGAGTTTAAATTTCTGAAGTTAAAGACAGCTCGAAATCGCATTTGTGTAAAGTTTTGCGCAGTTAGATTTTTAAAACCAAAATAGCTTTTCTAAAATGCTTTGGAGGCGTTCTATCAAAAAGTGGTTTTTATGGTGCGCTGCCTCTCAAAATAAGTCTGTATTTTCCAATTACCGTTTTAAATGGACTGTTGACGATGATACGTGGTCAATCTACTGTAAAAAATACGATCGGCTGGTCCCAAGAGACTGCTGTAAAATAGTACCAAATGGTACCATGAAATAGTTATGCTCGCGATGGTGTCTGGAATGGCGGGTAAAACTTTTCTGTAAACCTTTTCAGTAAAACCCACTGAATAATACCATTCTGTACTTATTTTTTTATTGTGGAGTTGAAAAATTGTGTCTGTAATATTCGTGCTTGTCACGGTTTCGGAAAGCAATCATAAACTGCAGGTATGATTAAATAGCTCTAGATCAAGTCTGAGTCTAAAGAATTCGTTAATCACCCGATGTTTTTTACTTTCAGAATTGCAAAAATGAAAAAGCGGTGATCATCCAAATTCAATACCTGATACCTGAAGTAAATCATCTGCTCCAGTTATACGAATAGAAGTACTGATAACTTATCCACATGCTCCAGAGGTGAACAGTGCTAACATTTCCGAAGTGAGATGTCGGTGAACGAAGTGCGTGGCGTTGATTTGATCACTCAAGTGTTCAGTCCAAGAGTGGCGCTCTTGTCTTCGACTGGGGCGGAAAAACTGGCCCAGAAGAATAATTTATCTCTGGTGCAACTGTTGAGACCTTTTGCTCAGATGAGAACTGAAGCGGCTCTTAGAGATCCATACAACAACACTGTCCATGAGGTATGGCTTGTTTTAGCTGGTTTTATTAAATTAGGATGTAGATGCAAATGAGCTGGTCACATAAATAGTTGCTACCAACGCAAAATAGCTGATGGAGGAATCGACTGAACGTTTGAATATAAAGAAACATGGATATTCGGTTTGTGGGAAAGTAGCACAGAATGCTCCGACTAAACTGATTTAAGAAAAAAAATTCAAAAATAAAGACATTTTTTGCATTTTTTTTCGTCTTATTTCCGGTTATTTTTTCTAAGAATATGTATTGATTTTGGTGAAAAGACGAAAAGGAGCGGTTCCTATACTTGAAATAACGTTTAAATTATATTTATAAATGCGAGTCTAGTGTAATAGAACGACGTTTTTTCGAACCTAAATCGCAAATATTGGTTCCACTGTTCATGGCACTTTTACGGCTTTTTGATAGAATATGCTCTGAAATTCGATTAGTAAAAAATAAATTCAGTTGATGCCTCTTTAATTCATCAAATGAACCGAAAAAGTATCTGTTTCAAACAACAGAACAATAATTACACAAGCAGCATAGCTTGTGTTTTTGTATGAACTTTCTTTTTTTTCCAACCTAAGTCGTAAACATTGTTGCGATGCAATTGTTGCGACAAAATGTTCGTTTTGAAAGTGTTCATTTGATCCAGCTATTAAGTATAGCCAATGCTAAGGATATTATTACACTATTTTATTACAAATAGCACTATAGCTTCAAGGTATCTTATTAAATAGGTAACTTATTAAATAGTTTAAGATGTTATGTTTCATCACGGACTACCACCTCAACTAAGCAGAGTCACCTATCCAGCGTTTGCGGCTCTGGGTAAAAAGCTTAGCTGCGTGTACCTTAATCCAACCTGCCTGTGTACAACGAGTAGCCCGGAGTGGGTTACCGCACCAATTCGACTACACCGATACACAGGTCGACTGGTTTACTGGTCGTGTTGTCAATCTGGGCGAGACGATCTGGGCGAGGCGATCGTGACAACGGGAGTTCTAGGCGATTGTGGGCAACAAAAAAAAGTTTATTGGCCGAGTGGTCTAGTGCTCTTGTTTCTATTCCTGAGGTCTACGGTTTGATTCCCCCCTTCGCTACTTTTCTTTTCTCCCGGTGTCACAAGTGCGATGTCTACCGATGATCAGCGCAGCTCAAGCGCATCACGGAGCAAAGACTATTATCCAACGATATCAGAGCTTGTTTGGGCATGTGATGACGATGTCAACAAATTAATATCTCATCTATCGAAGTCAAGCCTGCAGTGTCTTTTGCGAGAGAGCCTATCTCAACTTAAGGTTTCTGCAAACAACAACCACTCAATGAAGGAAAGTTTTTCTACTCTCACCGCTGCTTTTACAGACTTCAATGCTGCAGTTCTGCCCAAAATTGAAATGTCTATCAAAGAAACACTTACAAATGTCATTGAAGATATCAAACCACTGCACTCCGGAGTTGCTGCGATCAACACTGCGGTCGCTAAACTCGAACATGATCCAACCAAGACTCATGCTTCCACTAAGCAGGTTTCAAATTCCGTTCACAAACCGAACAACAGAGATATGCAAATCCGTATTGATGGAATATTTGAAGACACCGAGAAAACAAGAGCCGAAAACACAGAAGAAGAAAATTCGAAAGTAATTGACATCCTGAAACATTTGAAAGTAAATCCAACCATATCGAATATTGAAAGAATTGGAAAATTCCGCAAGGAAACCAAACGACCAAGAACACTTCTAGTTACATTGCAACAAGCATGGGATGTGCGGTTGATTTTATCTCGTGCCAAAAGTTTAAAAGACTTGGACCACAAGATATATATCTCAAAATCTTTGTCAACCTAAGAACTCATCATTGAGAATGAGCTGCTCAAGAAGCGGCGTGAGATGATCATTTCAGGAATAGAAGCATTCAAACTTCGTATACGTTCTTTGAAACTTTATCACGAAGAAAACCTAATCGAAATTAATACTACCAACAACGAATGACTACTTAGAATGAAAACTCTAGAAATCAGTTGTCTAAACGTGTGCAGTATTTTAACCAAAACAAGAAGAAATGCGTTCATAAAAGCCTCAATTCTCTCAACTTCATCAGTTTTTGCCTTAACAGAGACATGGCTAACAAGCGATATACACGACGGCGAAAATGGATTTAGCAACTTTTTGTTATACAGATCAGAGCGCAAAACAAAGACACACACCGCAAGCACGGCGGTGTATTGATTGCAATCAGAAGTGATGTTCCTCATACTCCAATCGAACTTTTCAAAGGGCATGAGGACGCTGTAGCTTGTCTACTGGGGAGTAATTTGGAAACTATTCTCCTAGTTTGCTTATACAATCCTCCTGAAGGCAGTCCCTACAGATGGTCCTTGAACAAATGGTCCGATATTCTAATGGAATGGAGCACCTTCAGAAGCGCACATCTCATCATCATGGGCGATATCAATTTTATAAACACCGACTGGCAACTCCTTTCCTCAACAAACGAATACGAAAGCGAAGTTTTGTTCCTTTTCGAGAAATTAAACTTGAGTCAGTTCGTCACTTTTGACACATGCGCTAGTGGTACACTCGATGTTGCCCTGTGCAACTCTGATTTTATCATATCCATTAATTTAGACCGTGAGCTGAACGAGCACTACTGGCTCTCGAATCGTGCAGCCTCCAACCATAAAGCATTCAAGATTAACATTCCACTACAGTACACGAAAACTCAACCCAAACCTGTTAAACGTTTGAGCTTCTGCCGTGCAGACTACGATCAACTGAACAGTATCATTCTGAACAAACCATTCAAAGGAATTTGCTGGACAAACCCAAACGCACTTCTGAGCCAATGGCACAGCTGGCTATTGGATATTCTGTCAAGCGCTGTTCCCGTTCGCACAAAACACAGAAGCAGTCTCGCCCCGTGGGTTTCGTCTGCTACCTCAGACAAGCTCAAGCGTCTGAACACTCTGAGGAACCAGAAAACAAGTCCCGCAATGGAAGACAAAGTGAACGCACAACTGCGGATATGTGAGCATGAGCTCGAAGTAGACCAATCAAACTACGAATCTTTACTTGCGAATGCTCGTGACACACGCGCTCTGTTCAAATACTACAAGTCAATCAAAAATCCCCAAGTTCTTCCTCCATCTGTATTTTGGAAACACTCTCGAGCGACATCAAATCTCGATAAAGCGACGTTATTCAACAGATTCTTTCGGTCGGTATTCACGACTCCATCATCTATTTTCCAACCATCCGATACTCAGATTCAGATAAGCGACTACGATGTTTCACTTTCCAAAATAACCAAAGTGACTTCGTCTCTTGACGTAAGCAAATCAACTGGGCCCGACAGACTCCCAGCGGCTTTGTTTAGGAACTGCAAAGCGTTGAACAAGTCTATCGCAAGTCTTTTCAAGTCAATCAAACACACATCAATTTTTCCATCTGACTGGAAAGTTGGAATGGTGAAACCACTGCACAAGAAAGACAACAAAGCAAACGTAGAGAACTATCGACCAATCACGCTGTTGAGTATAATTTCTAAAGTCTACGAGAAGTGCATTTTCGACCCACTTTACGAACATGTTGCAAATCTTATTCCTACAACTCAATTCGGTTTCCAAAAGAAAAAGTCTACAATAACCCAACTTCTTGTGTATTTAGGCGAAATCTACTCCAACGTTGATATCAGTGAACAAGTAGTAGACGCAGTGTACTTAGACTTCTCGAAAGCCTTCGACAAAATTGACCACAATATTCTCCTGTCAAAACTCCAAAATTGGTGTCCGAGGAAACATGCTCAAAGTTCTGCAAAGTTATCTGAAAAACAGGCAACAATTTGTGGACATCGAAGGACGCGCCTCAGAATACCTATCGGTCTCAAGTGGCGTCCCCCAGGGATCAATTCTGGGACCGCTGCTTTTTCTAATATATTTGATTGATCTTCCCAACGATCTATCATCAGAGGTTTTCAGCTTTGCCGACGATTCTAAACTCCTATCACTACACAAGCACAATGAGCCCTGCGATCTACAGTTCGACCTCGACCGCCTATGGAATTGGTGTACCTCACATCAAATGTCTTTCAACATAGATAAGTGTTGCGTTATGCACTTCAAAACTAAAAACTGTGGACCTTTCTACCTTGGGTGCAACGAATTGAAAACATCAAGTTGTGAAAAAGATCTCGGAGTGAAGGTTTCAAGTTCTCTAAAGTGGAGCGAACACATAAAGTTCGCATCTGCCAAAGCGATCAAAGTCCTATTCCTTTTAAAGCGATCCTCGGCGAAGCAACTTCAAGCATCAACAAAAGTTAATCTCTACAAGTCGATGGTTTTACCTATCATATGCTACGGGAGCTCAGTTTGGTATTCTTCGAAAACGGACCTCACAAAACTCGAAAACATTCAGAAGAAAGCTGCGAACTGGGCAACAAACTATTCGGAGAATTGCTATACTGACAGATTGTCTACGTTGAATCTCTTGCCTCTTTCTTTGTACATCGAGCTGAACGACATTTTGACGTTATCCAAAGTCATAAACAATCGTTTCGACTTCAACTGGCATCCCTTTGTGAACTTTTCTTCCCGGAGAAACAACCTTTTTGACCTGCCTTACGTCAGCAAAGAACAGCTGAAAGGAAATTTTTGGTATCGCACACAGAGACTCGCAAACCTATTGAACAACAGAATAGATTTCCTCAATTCTAACGGCCTCAAAGCAAGACTGTTGAAAACTTACTGGTGCTATTTCAATGATGTCTACAACTCTTCTTCTTCTTGTACTTGGCGCGTTCTTTGCCTTTGTGCAAATTGTCGCCAAACTAACTTTTAGCGTTTGATTTTCGTTTCGGGGTCTTATACACCCTTCAGTATTGTTTTACTGTAAATTCATAATAATAATAATAATATCATGGATATGTAGCGTAGAGGTAGGGAAGGAGACCAGCAACAAAATAAGAGGGTTCGAACCTGGGCAGGGTCGGATGTTTTTAATGAATTTTTTCGTATATTAGTTAAAATGCGTCCGCTCTATAAGTTGAGGCATGTTAGTTGGTAGGTTTTTTTTTATTGACTGGTACTTCTAATGCGTCATAGTTGGCTTGAGTCACTTAGCAACTATGTAGACTCAAAATTGGCGTGCGTCACTTGAGAAATTTTTTAGAATCGAAGTTTTACTCAATCAGTTTTTCCCAGTAGCATTATCGGTCATATTATTGTTTGTGTATGCGAAGTCCAACTTCGCCTCTGTGTTACACTTGCGAAACTGATGTATTATAGCGAACCTTCTTTTTTTCCAACCTAAGTCGCAAATATTGGTGAGGCACCCCAATAATAGTAGGACACCTTTACAGCTTTTTGAAAGCATGTGCTTTGACAATAAATTAACACATTGGATGCATTTTTAATTAATCAAATGAACCGAAAAAAGTGATTTTTTAAACAACATTACACTAATAAAAACTCGATTTCAGAAATTTTCTAACTCAATAGATCTCGCATTTTTTTGAAATGCATAATTTTTTCATAATGTGGTTTAAGGCTTTGCGATTTGTTACATGCAAGGTTAGTGTGGATGACTTCAGTTTGTTATATTACAGATAATTAATTGCAAATTTGGGACTATTTTTATTTGGTGCTGAATTGCATTAGCATTTTGTTAACATATGTAGCTGCGGTATTCGTGACTAGTGGTTTTCAGTTCTCTTGATTGCAGTAGGTCGCAGATTCGAATCCTTTACTTAGCTGAGCTTTTGCTAATTCGAGGCTTATTTCTATTTTCTCTTATTTAACTTGATAGAGCTGCTTTTTGGTCGTGTTCTCGCTAGTGTGTGCAATGCGCAGCTTCACCTCTGTAAAATCTCAATTTGAGACATTTTCCCACACTATATCTCGCAACTTTTTTAAAATGCATAAATTGGCTTTATGCTTTCCAATTTATTACCTGCAAAGTGTGGGATGCCTTCATTTTGTTGTCCATACGTTATTTAATTGGTCTTTCACTTGAGACATCTTTAAGAATTACCTATGTAGGGCATATTTAAGAAGTCTCTTTGTTAAAATATTTAACCTTTTTGAACGTAATATTTTTTGCATGTTTAACGAAAGATTTTTGCACGCTTAAGCCATTTCGTACATTGTATTGCTTAAGAAATTTCACTTGGCACATTTTTAAGAAGTTGCTATGTTGGTCTGTTCTATGGACAAATTTTTGAAAGAATTGAAATCTTTACTCAAGTCGACCTTATAAAATCTGTTGTAGGGCGAACGCTTCAACTCCACGTTTTTTCTATATTCGCAACGTAAAATTACCAATTTTTGTATCACCAAATATTGAACTTTAAATTAACTTCTAAACCTCATAGTGGGTGCTGTCTGGGTACACCCAGGGTTTTCATATCTGGCGTCCAAGTATAACGGCTTAAATCTTTTTGGTTATCGAGATATGGAGTTTTTTATTATTTTTTCAATTTTTTTTTCAAAACAAAATTTAAATATAAAATAAAGTAACCGAAGTTGCTCAACCCTATAGTGGGGGGCTGTCAAGGTACACTCAGGGGTTTTTTATCTGGTGACTAAGTTTGACGGTTCAAATCCTTTTGGTTTTTGAGATAAGTCGTTTTTTATGAGTTTTTCAATAATTTTTGTTTTTTTTAAAATTAGATATAAAATATAGTAACCGAATTTGAAATTCTCAACCCTATTACAACAATAGTTGTTTCTATTTGAATTTGGTGCCACTTTCGCTGCATGGCATTGGCAGTTTGTAAGCGGATGTAGCTGCTTTCTTTGTGACTAGTGTTTGCCGACAGTTAAGCGTCCGTGGCCGTGAGTGCATTGCGTTAGTCTCAAAATATAAAGGTAGCAGATTCGAATCCGATACGTAGCAAAGTTTTACTAAATCGAGGCTTATTTCTACTTCTCATTTCTATTCATACAGCTGCTTTTTTCTCATGTTCTCGCCAGTGTTTGCGAAGCATAGCTTCGCCTGTGTAGAAGAAACCGGCCTCACGGGAAAAAAGCGGACTTTACGCCATAGTTCATTTTAGTTTATTTCATTTGCGTGGTCAGAGCTGAAAAAAGTACAGGCCTTGGGCTAATGAACAAAGGGAAGACTGCTTTAAATTCTGGCTTCTAAGATCGCCAAGGCAAATAAACAGTCATGAAAAAAAAAATTCAGTAAGCAATTGGACGAACTTTATTAACGTTCTTGCAGTTTTCTCTGCTGCTAATTTAGGATACAGGTTTAAACTTCCGACAACTGCTAGATGAAACTATTTTTCAGGAGCTAGTTCGATCAAAATTTGAGAAATGTTGTTTCGAAGGCGTAAATTAGCCATTATATCGTAATTTTTTGCAGAGAATTCTTGCTGTGAAAATATCCTCGCAAGCAACCCAAGAAATTTGGTTTGGGGTCAAATCATTACTTTGGAAAGCTGACAAGTTTGACTTACTCTTTATGCAGCGGAAAAACCACAGACAAAAAATTGAAAGAGTTACTTGATCGGCCGTCAAAAAACGGCCATATTATATGTAATTTCGCGCTGATGAGTAAAAAAAGCAAAAAAAAAACCGTTTCAGCAAATTTTTCGAAAAAATTCGTCCAATTTTTTTTGGTATGCGCGCCCAAGACATTTTAATGTCAATCATCTAAACAGTTATGACCGTTTGTTTTGTGCCGGCCGGACCAAGAAAGTCTTTCAATTTTTATCTGTCGTTTTTCCGCTATATAAATACATCAAACTATATCAAACTCATATCAGCCCAAACGTTCGAAATCCTTTTTTTGCAAGGATGTTTCCACTGCAAGGCTATCTTTAAAACGCATCATAAATTGTTCTATATTTAAGAACATAATATAGAACAATTTATGATTCATAGAGCGTTAAGGCCATCTATTTTTTTCTTCGAAGTTCAAAAATCTAAGTCTCTTGAAAAAACAAGTCAGTTTTTTTTAGTTTGCTTGCGTTCATTACTCTTTTCCAACTGTTAGTTGGCTATGTTCTTAAATAATTGCAGACAAAACGACAAAATTTGTGGGGAAAAATCGATTATCTGCTCGTTGAATTCGAAAAGTTGCACTTCTAAGTCTCGTGACTGTAAAAAAAATTGAGACAGGAGTTATTTGTACGAAAGACAAGACTGCTCGTATCAGGGCGAAGCCCTGAATGCTCCGGCTGCCTTTTAAGGTTTATGGGGCAGTAATAACATTAAAAAATCAAATGTAATAAAACAAAATGAACATCTTGTAACAAATCAATTATGGCAAAAAGCTTCTTTCAACCAATTTGGAACGATTTCAAACTTCGCTCCTTGTAACTTCGCTACAAACTTCGCTCCTTGTAACAAATCAATTATGGCAAAAAGCTTCTTTCAACCAATTTGGAACGATTTCTAAGACGGATTAACTCTCCGCTTACGCGTTAATAGCGCGAAATATATCGCGCGTTACTTGTCCCAAATTGGCCAAAAATGGCAATCTTTAAACCCCCATAACTTTACAAAAAATGATCACAGGTGAAATATATATATTTTTTCAAATTTGAGCTCAAGACACCAATACCTTTCGATCGATATTTAAAAATTTCATCAAAAGTGGCTAGTTAAAAAGTCTAAATTTGTCTGAAGAAAAAAAAAACCCACCCCGAGCACAAATATTCCGTTACTTTCGTATCGAAAGTCAGAACAATAATTCCTCGGAGTTAATTTCTCTGAATTTTAAAGGAGCTAATTCCTCAGCTTGACTTTTTCTGATTTATATTTTTGGAAAGACAAACGCAAAGATCGATGATTCTAACTGAAGTTAAGTAGGAGCTTCTTGTCGATAATCATTAAATGTTGGTTTGAAATGTAACATCACATATCAAGGATAGTTTTTTCTAGGTCAGAAACCTGAAGTTAAAATTTGAACTGATGGAGAGCAACGACCTCGTGCCAGACTCTTCAACTGTCACCCAGCTTCTCAACGCCGTAGTTTCAGATTCCCTCTCAAAGATCAATGGAGCCAAGGTTAACTCCAAATATGGTTCCTACAACTTAAACATGCATTCATCAGCGCCCTGGTTCGAATCATTCCGAAACCATTTTATGCGTACGTTGCCAGTATCCCAACACGAGTTCACAAGGCATTTCGTGGCATGTCTTCTAGTCGTCTCCTCATCAGAACCCGATCCAAAAACTCAGTTTGCTAACCTAGAAAAGCAATTCAGAGAAAATCTAGCCGAATTTGGATCGCAGCGTTGGTTTACATCGGATATTTTGTGCTGCCGTGTTTTGATTCACGACGTTGCGGAAGGAGACGAGAAAGCGGCCTCGGAGTTAATTCAGGAACTTAAAAATGAAATCGGCCGTGGACCTCATTTAAGCTACCTGCTTTCTATAAACAGTCGCAGGGTATTTGAAGTACAAGAAATAGTAAAAAGCAATAACAAATACGGGCCCAAAATGGTGGATCCGTGGAAACGCTTTCTATTCGATAACCTCAAACAACCTACTCAAAAAGCGATCAAAAGTAAAAGTGCTGACCGGGGATCGAATCTGGATGCGTCGAATGGCAGTACAGAATCTTCACAGATTAGACATCCACTTGATATGCCTCAAAGTCCAAACGGAGTTTCAGACCCAGACTCTTCGCCTGATAGTTTCGCACCGATTACCGGAGAAAATTCATATCACGGTTTGTATTTGACATCAGCCGACCAGGAGGTAATAAGATCCTTTGTTGATGAGTTTATAAGACGTGCACTTTTGCCTCACTACGAAAAGCAGATCAGAAGTTTGTATGATCAACTTGTGGCGAAGAAGGCGATCTCGAAATCGTTTTTCTCTGCTACCAAAAAGTGGTTTGCAAGTGGCAGAACGGCGAACTACCCGATGCATTTCGGATCCGCGGAGAGCTCGAACTTCTACCCTCCAGAAGCTTCGGAGGTGCAGCTTCGGAAACTGGGAGACTTAGCGTTTCTATTCCAAATGTACGACATTGCCTATAACATCTATTATCAGTGTAAGGGCGATTTCTCAAGCGACGGCGCACATCTATTTTATGCCGGAAGTTTAGAAATGACAGTTTTTTGTCAGTTCATGCTTGGGAAATCATTGACGACAAGTTATATTGACACTGCAGTTTCAGCTTATCTTTACCAATGTAGAAATTACAACTATGCGTTGAGATGCTGTTTGCTTTGTAGTGAAATTTTGCTCTGCAAGTCAGTTTTTCTAGAAGCCAGCACAAATTTTCTGAAACTCACTAGTGAAGAATCGGATTTAAAAAGCGCTCTGTTGTTGGAGCAAGTTGCATTTTGCTATATCAATGCAAGAGGGTTCCCGAAGCCTAGAAAGTTTGCGTTTTACATGATATTAGCGGGTTACAGATACAACAAAGCGGATCAGAAACATCATCTTTTGAGAACTTATGAGTTGGCTCAGCAAGTTTTCAAAAATTCAACTTGGTCGCATGCGGAAGACAATATTAATTTGACTATTGCTAAGCACTCGCATATTGTCGGAAAGTTAGATATAGCAACACAGTCTTATTTGCACCTGCTGACAAAAAATTCAATGGACAAATCTAACCAACAGGCAAATTTTTTCCAGGATTTCATAACTTGCTTTAAAGAGTACATAGAGTTTAAGCGAGATTCGAGTTCGGCAAAATTGTCTGAAGTAATGTTGCCTTATATTAATTCTCAGGCTGTGGTGGTAACTTACGGAGCCTTGCAGCGGGATTCAAATTTCGAAGCACATTTCATACAAAGTTCACATTGGGTCAGTTTAGAAAAAGCTGCGACCTTGTTTGTAACGAAAGCCAAAACTATTCCGATTACTTGGAAACCTTCCATCCAGGTACTAAGCCAGACGACAGTGAATAATATCAAGCCAAGAACAGCCAGAAACGAACCGGTTAAAATTAAGTTACAACTTGAAAATACGATGAAGTTTCATCTTTATCTGGAGAAAATTCACCTTCTTTGGAATCTAAAACGAACAGATTGTGAAGATTTGATAGAAAACGAAAGTGATATATTAGAGGGGAATAAATACATTAAGACGGAGGTTATAAACGAGTTGTCTTTTGATAACTTGGAGATCAAAAGTGTGAGTTTGGGCATTATTCCGTGTGTCGAGGGCGATGTTAATATTGTGGGCGTGGCTTACAATCTCTGTTCTGGTGCTGCAGATACGACTTTCAACCGGAAAACTGTCAGGGTGAGTTTAAGTTGAATTCGCTCTTCGGGTTTTTAAGAGTCGCTGGGACTAAGTGAGAAGAGATTCGGTGCTATTTCCTAAACTGTTTCATTTATCCCACTCTTTCTTGATCATCATCATTATCATATCCTCTTTGTACATCGGTTCAGATTTTCGTTGGTGTTCGAGGCATGAATCGGCGTTGGTTTCTTTGTTCATATACGTTACCCTAAACTAAGATTTGGATTTAATACATTGATGAGGTTCCACACGGTCAATTTTTGCGTTTGAGTTATAGATGCAGATATTTTAGTTTTTGCGACTACATTTTAGGTACCGCCACGAAAGTTCACAGATTATCAGGTGAGGTATGATTTTAAAACGCTGTTAGTCGTGATTCGAATGCAATAAATGTCTCAGTTTCGAGAAAAACTGGTCTGAACGTAGTTTTTTTGCCCGAGTGATGTCACAGACCATGTCTGTTTGTAGGTGAAACAGAATCTGAATGTAGTAGGTCCCAAACTGAACTCGACTCGGGATGACAGGCTAGCCAATGCCAGGGGTCCAGACTTCAGGCTGCAATTCACAGTAGTGTCCCCCCAGCCACTCCTGGAAGTCCAATTCTCACCCCTCCCCTCTGAAATACTGTGCGGAGAGCTACACACTGCTAGGGTGACATTCCACAATCGAGGTAAAATAACCAACAAAATGAGTTAAAGTTGGCTCTGAAGGTGAACAAGTCCGTCTGCGGGTGATTTTCTACGATATCAGCTTAGATTTTGGAACTTCATGTCCTTGCCATCGTTCGAAGTCTTTCTCACTTTCAGGGCTAGGGATTTGAATTTATTTCATGTGCTTTTTTGCAATTGATTTGAATTATATTGCAAATCTTGAAATAGCTGTTTTTGAGAACTAAGTTCTGCTTTCAGGTCAGATCCCTATAAATTCCCTCGTCGTCTCTTCCAAAGATGTCGGTTACTTTGCCTTCGGACACGCGGACCCAAACATGTTAGGTAGTGTTCAAAACGGTGCTCAGTTCTCACCAAACTCAGTGGCAGAAGTTTTCGAACTTACCTTACCGGAGGGAGTTTTACTACCTGGTCAGGGAATCACCATGTCCTTTTGGATCCGAGGAATGACTAATGCTGGTCGATATTCTATATCGTTGTTGTTTCTGTACAAGAACAAAACCTCAGACTCAGCTATGCCGCATAGAATTGTGAAGAAGTCTTTTGAGATTGAAGCGCGACAATCGCTATCGGCCAACTGCATCAAAAACAGAAATTTCGACCAGTCCTTTCAACTTGTTTTCTCCCTGCATAATCTCTTACAAAACTTAAACAGTCAATGTTTATCTTCGTTTACTCTAGCTACCTTAATATGTGTGAGTAAAAAGTGGATAATTAATAGGTCACAAAATGGCATTGTGGTCGATACAAGTAAGATCAACGAACAAGAGCAGCTGAATTTTGAGGTCAGATTAGACAGAATTGTCGGCGAGGAAGATAACGTCATATCGATAATCTCGAGTGAAACTCCGAGCGAAGTGAAACTAATTCCGTTTAATGAATTCCTTGTCCGAAACTCGGTAATGTTTCCAGAGATCAAAACGACGATTCAAAGTCCGAAGAAAAGTGGAGAATCTAAAGTCCATCCGTTAAGCTACGCTGGAAGCTCGGTGAAAACAGCAATTAAAGCAAGCGTTGATGTCACCTTCATTTTTGAATGGAAAGTCAATATCGAAACTCCAGAGAAGAAAGTGCAAACTTCAGGTATGCATTATTACACTTTGGATGAAATTGACTATGAGAAATCGGATTCGCCTATACCTGATGTTGCTTTGTCGCAAAATGCAAATTTGCCCTACCTTGTGAGATACGAAATGAAATACGACTCAAATTTGGAATACCGAATCGAAAAATCGTTTGCGAAAGTTGACGTTTCAGTTCAGTTTTACAACTGCAGCGAGCAACTGGTCGAGGTCAAATTGTTTTTGCCCGAAAGCCCAACACCCTCCTCGGTTTTCAGTCTGGATAAATTGGGTTTGAGAGAGAGTTTTTCGTTTTGGTGGGTCTGTAAGTCAACTTGGGTGCTCTCATTGCCCGCCTTGGGGCGAAAAGAAATCAAACTGAAGGCTTGTTTTTTCAAACCAGGAACGTATAATCTGAATAACGTGTCAGTGTTAGCCTCATTTAACTCGACGGTTTACAAATTTGTGGAACAAGATTGCATGTCGGCGACGTTTATCACAATAAAACCGAGTTTGAATCCCGAACTGCCGTGAAATAACAAAAATTGCTCAAATGAGTTTGACAGATTGGGTTCCTGGAATACATTCAATATATGTAATTTAATTGTGTTAATTTTTTCAAATTCTTTTTCCTTTTGCCACAAAACAATTCATGGTAACATGTGTTCACTTATATTATGTAGCTTTGCCTAATTTCTTTGGATAGATTTCAATTTTAGTCCATTTGGCTCGAAGGATGATTATTCTTTGTTTAAATTGTAAATTGAGTAGTTAATTAAAATTGAGTATAATGATTTGACATGTGATACATACGATACTTATATAAATTGGGAGAATATTTTTTCATTTCCTCTTTTGAAACCAAATTAAGGGAATTAGCAAACAAATCCAATCGAAAAAACAACGGAACTGGACAACATAAGTTACTAAATTTGAACGAACGGATTTGTGGTTGTTTCTGTAATGCTTCCTAAACTTGAGTATCGAAGCTGGTGAATATTCTTCAGGAATGATTTTTTTCAGATATTCTTTGAAGCAGTGTAGTAGTATCCTAAAATGGATCAAGTGGACGAGATAATTCTGATGTCTCTGCGTCGCCTAGGGGTGCCATTTGCAGACGACTCAGTCAGCAAGATCCAGCAACTGGACTCGGACACGATAGTGCACGCAGTGGTCATGTGTGTGAACGCAATTGACCCCGAATGCGAGGGCAAGTATTTCAGCTGCTAAATATGAAAATTTACAGCTAATACCGTCAGGCCAATTAAGGTAAACTAAAATACGATGCTGATAGCTTCATTGAGCCACAAATAGTCATCGGACTGGGTTGAGTAATACATCATATTAAAGCCATTTCAGTCGTGATTTGAACCTTCTGTAACAATTCCAGAATTTTTTTCTGTCGAGAAAAATCGGTTTGAGATTTTTCGTCCATTTTCGAGGAGTAAAGCGATCGAGTAACGTTCTTCATGTATAAAAATTACCAATTTAGGCTAAAAATTGATCATTATACTAAAAGAAAATCTAGTTTTGGATGCCTTTTATTGCGCTTCTTTGGCAAAGTAAATTCTTTTGAAAATATTTTGAAATTTTTAGTGCAAAAAATTGGAAAAAAAATTAAATTTTTTTTGTTTATTTAGTTTTTTTGAAGACAATTATAGTCGTTCATGCTTAATTCACTGAATTTATACTAGTTTGTATAGCTCCATCACACGACCTTGAAGAAAAAAACACTATTTTGAAAAAAAAAGTTCCGAGAAAGTGGTCCGAACATTCTATTCTGTGCTACTGTGCACAGCAACCGGCTATCCTTGTTTTCCCGACCATTGAAAATGTGGAGGAACTTGATATTCGGGTGTGTTTTAGTTTTTTTTTCTCGTTTTCAACGCAACAGCAGGTGCCAAAAATAATCATCGGACTGGATTGAGTGATATATCATATTGAAGCTTTTTCAATCGTGATTCAAACCATATGTAACAATTCCCAACATTTTTTCTAGTGTCGAGAAACACCGGTTTGAAATTTTGATTTTTGGTCTTATTTCTATCGAATAAAGGCAAGCTAGCAGGCTTAAAATAGCTTATTTATGCTTAATTTAAGCCGCAAAAACTTAGTTTTAGTCGAGTAAAAGTATTATTTGAATTTTTTTTTGTGAATCAAAAATTTCAAAAAATGCTGCAAAACAATTGAAAAAATTTGTCGATTTTTTTTATTTTAACGATTTTTTTTTCTAATAATTTTTCTAGCAAAACTGTCGCCCAATTAGCCTGATCTACTATGACTGACGAAATTGCTCAAATTGTAATTTTTCGTTCAGATCCTTTTATCACATCACGTAGAAAAAAGTATTAATTTGAAAAACCTTTTCTTAATTTTTTTGAGTATGGTCGTAACATTCTGGGCTATTTGCACAGTAACCGGCCATCCTTGTTTTTTATTTGCAATTTAAAGGTGTGGGTTGAAAATATTCTTTATGTGGCATATCATCACGTAAATGGTTTTTATGAAGAATTTCCGGTTGGAGTAAAAGTAGCACAGCAATTCTGATCGCAGTAATTTTTAGAAAAAATAGAAATAAACGAATAATGCAATTCTTGGTAATCGCCTCTTTCCAAATTTTTCTAGTTTTTACCTGCTTCAGTTTTCAGTTAGCCTAGCCATGGATGAAAGCTTTTAAAATCAGCAACTCTAATCCCTTGAACCAAAAAAATATATATATCTTCAATTTTTGTTTTGTGGCCTTACTAGTTTCTTATATAAAGTTTTTTTTTGCTAGATAAAGTATTACGAATGATTCACTTGTCTCAGGTTTCAAGTGTTTGATATGAAAGATAGGGTTTCTATTTAATTTTATTTGCTTTTAAACATATCTTTTGTATGGTAAATGGTGCGAAGCTGCAACTTAACAACTTTATTTAGGCAAGTACCCGACTAGATTACCCGAGAGTATGTCGCTGCGATTCAGGATGTGTTCGGAGATAGCTGAGAAGATCAAACATCTCGGGTACAAGTCGGACATAGGTTATCAGACCCTTCTATATCCAAACGAAACAGAGCTCAGGTGAGTTGGCTGGGGGTTTTAAAGAAATATGCTTTATAACTAACTAATGTAAATAACTAAAATCACTAACTAAACGACGTTGTCTCTGGCGCGGAATACTTGATCCGAATAATTCTCAAAAAATGAACGAAACCAAGCAAAAAGGGCTGACGAGAATAAGTTTTCTTAGTTTTTCTTCTTCAGCACGTTGGTTCTAGTTTCTCATCTTACTTTGAAATGATTTGGAGAAACGATTTTCTTTATTTCTTATTCTTTCTAGAAAGTGTTATTTCTGTTCCAACCAACTTGGATGAGATAAATCTTCATATAATATCTTCAAATTTTATTTGAAATATAATGAATTATTAATTTGAACAGTTCTTTCTAGGCGTCTGTTCATGTTCCTGGTTGAGAACCTTCCACGTGACCAACTGGATACTTCGGCTACCTCTGCTTCAGAATTTCTGGACCCTACGACACGACTCAAACTGCAACTGGCCTCTGTACTCCAGAAGCAAATACAGGAACCCTGGAAACCCCACTACTTAGGCCCCAAGAACAAACAAGCGCAGCGAGTGTTCAGAACCCATTGTGACATGTGTTCCAAGGAGGAGCTGGAAATAGGAGATGTTTCTAAAAAGGGGTTGGTGCCTGAGTTAGTGGAGCTCAATAGTGTGTGGAGTGAGAGAGAAGGTAGAAGAAGTGTGACTAAAGTGGATTCTGACGCCATGCGAGCAAAGATTGAAGAGTTAGAGAATGAAATGGTAATTTTGATAACTGCTGCATCACATCTTGTCTATTTAGAAATTGGCCCTTAAAATTTTGAAATTTTTGGTGTCTGTTTAACCTTGACGTCATAGCGTATTATTATGAAGCTACTTTTTCCCAATCTAACTCGCAAAGTGGGTGTTACTTTTGCTATAATCACGATCTGTAGCATTGGTAATCTCATAGCATTTTTTCTGTTTGTGTTGTGGCTAGAGTTTGGCGGTTGCTAAGCCTCCTTGGCCAAGTGGAAAGGACGTAATATTCTTAATCTCGAGATAGCGAGATCAAATCCGCTGTGTATCAGAACTTCGGATCTTTTCCAGTTTGCCACCCCTCGTAAAATAACAAAATAAAGCTGTTCAAAAAGTGTGTTCATACGGCATTTTCTATGTGACAAATGTTGTAAAACTTTGTTCGCCTGTTCACGCTGAAACGTTTTATTGCAGTTTATAACATGGAAAGTCATTTTAAGTAGACTGTCATATATTGATTTTCAGAAAAAAATAAGGGGAACTGGAAAAGAGCCAGAAGTTTTACTAATTTGTGATTTATTTCTAATTTTTTTTTACTTCAATTTATAGAGATGCTTTTTGTGTCTTTTTTGCTAGTAGGTGCGAAGCGCAGCTTCGCTACTGTGTTGTGTATGTCCTTATCTTGATGGAATTAATTCTAGCGCGTATTAACTTCAGTTTTGAATTCGTTTTTTAAAACTCATTTATACTTTGAAAGTTTTGCGTTTTTTTTTTGAGAGAGAGAGAGAGAGAGAGAGAGGGGACACTTTATTGTTTCAATATACTTATGCAGTTGCAGAACTGATTGTATAAGAATCTAGTGTACAATATTACGCAATGGTTATATAACATAACAAGAAAAAACATAAATTACTACGAGGTTGAATCAAATAATTGATTTAACAAAATAAATGTCCTTGGATACGGAAAGACTCTCCTTATTGGGTAACAGGGTGTCATTTTTTCCTATGATGAAATTTTTAATCAGAGTTTTTGTTAATGTGTACGGCAGTTTTCGATTAAACAAGGTTCGGATTATTGTGTTAAGGTTCCTGATTGATGTAAATAAGAAAGACTTACGAAGGAAATCAGTTTTACATGTTAAAGGGAACAGTAATGTTCCAGTTCGATGGTTATAGCGGAATTCAGAATTTGGGAATCTTATATGCGTGAAAGCTGGGGCATCGTTTCGGCATAACCTGTGAAGGTAGTGTGCTGATCGGTACTCGATAATATTCCGAGCAGTAGGAATTTTGTGCTGTTTCCTTAGAAGTGTAACGGAATCTCGTTTGCTTATATTCATTATTATCCTGATTCCCCATTTTATTTGTTTTTCGAGTTTCTCAATATTATCTTGCGTACATCCGTTTAAGAGCATGCATGGATAGTGCAAATGGCTCAGTACAAGAGTATTTAACAGGAGAATTCTAGTACGCAGAGGGATTTCGTCACGGATGCATTTTATCGTTTGGATTGCTGTAGCCATTTTTTGTAAAATTTTGTTAATTTCTTTGTCGAATGTTAAGCTTATGTCAATATTGACGCCGAGAAATTTAACTGTCTCTGTTAAATTAACTTGATAGTTTCCAACTTTCAATGAAAGATTTTCAGTTAGTTTCTTTTTCGACGGTGCAGAAAATACAATGAACTGAGTTTTGTCTACATTAATCATTAATCGATTTAAGTGAATATACAAGAGAATTTTATTGAAATTGTTTTCAATGCTCTTTGTTGCTGTTTCGGGATCTGAATGAAAACTAAGCAGAGTCGTGTCGTCGGCATATTGTACTAGCGTACATGATTTGTCTATTGTTTGTGGTAAGTCATTTACATACAAGTTGAACAGCAGTGGTCCTAGTACAGTACCTTGGGGAACACCTTGCTCTAATTTAAGCCAATCTGAGTGTTCGCCGTTTACTATTGTCAATTGCTGTCTGTTTTCTAGAAATGACTTAATAAGAGTTGTTGCTGACTGTTCAAAGCCAATGTGACTTAGTTTCCTTTCAAGGACTGAATGAGAGAGTGAATCAAATGCTTTAGATAAATCAAGAAATGCAGCCGCTGCTATGTTATTTTTATCGAGATGGAATCTGATTTTTTCTGTTGTGTATAAAAGAGCATCATTAGTTGAATAACCTGGACGAAAGCCAAATTGTTTTGGATTTAGAATATTGGAATTTGCTAAGAATTCGTGAATTTGGGATGAAAAAATTTTTTCAAACAACTTCGATAGAGTGGGTGTAATAGAAATTGGACGATAATTTACTGGATCTGTCGAGTCGCCTTTTTTGAATATGGGAAAAACGTGTGCCTTTTTTAAGGTATATGGGAATACGGATTTCGAGATGCATTCATTGATAATCATCGTAAGAATTGGGTTTACAGTATTAATGCTGTCTTTTAGAGCCCAAGCAGGGATTTTGCTTGGTCCTAATGGCTTGTTTAAGGGAAGTAATAAAATTGCATCTTTCATTTCTTTGTGAGTTATGAACTTGAATTGAAAGTGCCTATTTGTTTTGCTGTGTACACTGTACTCAGTTGGTACATCTATGGGAGGATCTGCGTTTTTGTATTCTCCTAATGTTGAGAACCTGTAGTTAAGGAAATTTGCTTTCTTCTTATTTTCAATTATAGTGTCGCCAAACGAATTCCGTAGATCACCTATTTGCGTTGACTGTTTCATGGTGTTCCTGATAGAGTTTATGAAATTCCATTGTTTTTTTGGACAGTCAAGCATTTTGAATTGAGCTGTTTTCTCTTTCTTGTATAAATGTTTTAGATGATTGTTGTATTTATTTCTTATTCGTTTATAGTTTTCAAAATTGGCATCTGTTCTTGATAATTGATATGCCTTTAGAAGATTTTCTTTTTCCTGTTTTAAAGGTCTATTGACTGAGTTAAGTACTTTACCAGACAGCTGTAGCTGCGGTTTATTTCGGATATACTTCTGCTCTAGTGGTGCGTGAGCGTTTAGGGCATGCGAGAAAATATCTTCAAATTTTATTAACATTTTAGAGATATCGTTTTCTTGGTAGACGAGAAACCATGGACTCTGTTTAAGTTCCTCGCAGAACCTATTTTTACAATAATTGGTTTTGTTGAAGCGAAAAGTTCGAATTGGAATGGCTTTTTCGAATCGTTTTAGTTTGCTAATACACATTGTTATTAAATGGTCCGTGTTTATAGGTGGTTCTGCTACAATAGTTTCTTTTCAAAGAGATTTGGTTGCTTTAATGTTATCTAAAATGGATTGGCTGTTTTTAGAGTTGTATGTCGGTATCGACTTATTGGTTATTGACAAATTGTATGGTTTAATAGAATCGCTGAGAAATTTAGCTTCATGTTTATTCAAGTAGTTAATATTGAAATCTCCCAAAATCGTAACATCTCGCGCTTCGGAGGCAGCGTAATCGATACCTTTAGTGTATCTTCTATAAAAATTTCCTTGAATTGTTTGTGTGGGTTGTAGGCAATAGCAATTATCTGTCTTTTTGATTTTTTTGAGATGATTGGGCTATATTCCACCCAGAGTCCTTCAAAATGGGAGGGACGTAGATAATTTAAATCTTCTCGAATCTTAAGGTTAAATTTTTTTGGAATAAGAAGAAGAGTACCACCACCTGCGTGTTGACCAGTGCATTTTTTGTTACGGTCGCATCTAAAAATTTCATGGGTTGTTCTGCAGAATGAATAAGTTTGATGATCGCATGTTTCGTCAAGCCAGGTTTCCGTAAGACCGATAATTGTGTTTGAGTCAACTATTTCTGACAAGAAACGCATTTCCATGTGTTTGTTCTTTATACTTCTACAATTTAGAGTTATATATTTGAGGAAGTTGTGGTGTTCCTTTGCTTTGTTTGCCAGGATTCCATATGAAAGTGCGGGACCTGGATTGACTTCGATGTCCCCACATTGAAGAAGCAGGATTTCCAATATTCCAATCTGAAAGGTTAGTATCACAACTGCGCAATAGATGCCAGCTGTGAATCTAAAGTGGCGGTTAGACGTCATGTTTCTAGTTTTGAGTAGTGCGGTGCTGTTGGGTTCATTGTACTTAATGGGAATGCTAGTTAAAAGGGAGAAAATAAGGAGAGTCTTTAAAAGCCATTGGCTAAACATAAATTTGATAGATCCAGATCATTGGGTAATAGACTACTAAAACAGCATTAGTATGGATAGTATCTATTATGGCGTAAGTCATAATTACTACGATTGGTATTCATATAATTGTAGGTTTGATTGTTGCTGAAACCATGGCTCGCAAGACTCTTTGGGTGCTCGGGGCCCCACGAGACTTGGCTTGAACCAGGTTTCATACGATTCCTCTGAGGGTGCGCTGGGCCCCTAGAGTTGGAAGTATTCGGAGAAACAACTCGAGGTGATAAGCTGGATAATGGTAGCACCTTTTCCATGATTGCATTTTTTAAAGTACTAACAGAACGCATCAAATGTACTTCATCAAAGAAGATTGACTGATAGTCGTTTATGCTGACAATTTTATCGTAGATAGGAACAATTTGATACTTTTTTTTCTTAAATTTATGAGCAATAAGGCTGTTGAATTCAGTTATACGTTTACCACTTACAGAATCGGGTCCCGATTTCACAGGCGGGACTTGGCATATATTGATTATTGTAGGTGAAAACTTTGTCTCAATTTCACTAATGGTGGCGCAAAAAGTTTCAAATATATCATCTACAGGTTTGTGTAGTTCCCTTGTGAGTGAATTGGTGCCGTCCTGGAAGGTTACTGATTTCAGCTCAGTATCGTCGTACTTTTTCACAACTGATTGTTTCTCGCTGCAAAATGACCCGCGGTAAGAATGAACGGCCACGTCTTTGGGCAGCTCCTTCGTGTCAAACTCCGCTAAAAAACTCGAACCAATAATCAAGTTTTGAGTATCAGTGGGGATTACTTTGGCAGCAAAATCAATAGGTGCTCTGAGTCCTTTTGCGTTTTGATTACTGTTTGGAGGATTACTGGATGTTGCTAGTACATTGACAAGGTTATATATTTGAACGTAGTACTTATCTTTTTGTTCGGGATTGAGTTTCGTGAAGTCGTCGGGCAGCATCAGAAGCATTGGTGTTGACATTGTGTGAAGCCAGGAAAATGCCAGGAATAATGGTGCTGTTGGTGTCAAGGATAATATGCTGAAGTTAGTAGTCAGTGCCCAAAGAATGGCAACTAGTGTTTCATCACTCTCTATTTAATAAGTTTATCACAACAATTAGGCTATAAACTTATTTGATTGATGGAAAATTGCCGTCGGCCTCCAGAAACTCTTTTAATTGATTGCTGAAAAAGTTTTGGCTCCTTTGTCATTGTTGTTTTGTAGAAAGAGAGGGAGCAGGAGAAGTTGTTGAGTGCGATGAGTAGAATTCAGTCGATGAATGAGGATGGTCTCCTGAAGACACCCAGAGGAGTGGATGAGACAGCAGAGGGAGAGATGGAGAGACAGACTGAGTTGAATGAACTGCAGACGCAATCCACCCAACTCAGTAAGAGATAATACTGACCCTGCTCAAATAACCTTGAAAATTAAACAAATAAATGGATCATGACAAGATATAGGAACTGATTTATCAAAAAATCATGGCAAAAAGTTAATGCCATCATTAGATATCTATATTTGGAAAAGAAAGCAAAATATGTTCTGTGAATGCTTAAGTTCTTCTTACAAGAAAATGTTGTCGGCATATTGCAATAATGAAGAGCGAAAGGCAACTTTGAATTTGGAAAATCTATACCATTTACGCAAGAAAACTAGCTAGCAGTGTTATTTGACAAATAATTTTTTTCCGACCCAACTAGCAAATAAAAAGGGACATTTGGTGGCATTTTTGGAATTTTTCCAAGCATTGGCAGTTTAATAGACATTGCCAGTTCCTCTGGGGAAAGTTATAATTTATAAATTTATAGTTGTATTTTGAAGAGTTTGCTTGGTGAATTAATTATTTTACCTTTTTTATAATATGCGTTTTTTTCAGCTGACAAGTACGGAGAGGCGTTGCGCAAAATAGAGTCCTGTATCGCTAAGACCAAGGCGGCAGTTGACCGAATAGAAGAGCTGAGTGGAGACCTGAAAAGCAAGGAAGCCATGTACAAGTCCATGAAGAAGACATTCGACCTCCTACCCACTGCTCAGGTGAGCAATAAGCATTCTTGCTAACACGTTTGCAAGTGCGTCTGTAAATAAGCTTGAAGCGGAAACTTATTGCTGTTAATTTGGTTATTCCTTCTTACTCGCTACAGTTTTGTTTTTAAGTAATGAATAGCTCATTAGTACTACAATCACCATTAAATGAGTCCCCTTGATATATTGAAACGAGGAGCGTTCGCATTGAATCTGAAAACAGTTTTTCAGATTCAATGCGCATTGTGACTTCATTGTGTCTTATTTGTTTTTTTTTTCAAATTGTGACTTCATTGTGGCTTATTTGTTATTGTTGTTAGAACTACATAACGAATCTCTTCGTATGAGATCTGATTCATCTCTGATTTAGGAGAGCATCGAGAGACTTGAGTCGTTTCTGCAGTCGGCAGAGGAGAGGATGACTAGTCTGCAGAGTCAGTTCGAAGCACACTACTTGCCACTACAGAAAGAGAGAGACCAGTTGAAGCAGCAGCTGGAGAAGGAAGTCACACCTGCGCAGAAGATGCAGAGAGAGGTCAATGGTCAGTTGAGTTTTGTGTTGTAGCAATTGGGCAATGGGTTTTTAAGGAGACATAACTTCGAATTCCCGAAGCTTCTTTCCGTTTTTTCTTATTGTACCAAATTATTGTAAGCTCGATTTTTAGTTCGTAATTAAGAATAAATTTTCTCTAAATCATCAATTAGCGGCTCTCTCTAAATAAGCTGAAATTAGTGGCTCCCTCTAAAATTGCATTATAATCTTGAATGAAGGAATTGAGTATGAACAGCATCCGACGTTATCGGAACTTTCGTTGGGGTACCTGATTTTCAGAAAAAAAAAACAGTAGCCGAGAGTTCCTTTGCTGTCTGTATGGTGTAAGTCGGAACAATAAGAAAAGTACGAAGTGTTGATTTGATTCGAGTTAATTGGGATTCTTGAAACTTGAATTGATTATGCTTAATATGTTTCAGAATTAGAGGCTAAGTTACAGCAATTGTCCAGTGTGAATAAGGAGAAAGAAGAGGCCATTCGGATGTTGTCCTCGGAGACGAAGAGCGTCGATCAGACGAGATCCAGACAGGTCTTCACCGACAAGATATTCGACATCATCGGCAAGTAATTTATGAGCTGAAAATTCCGAATATCGGTTTGGACCGTCATTATAGGTAGTCCCCTGTTGAGTCATTTTATTGAATGGTTATTTGATATGCTCATAGTTGCTAATTATGGTATAGGAGTTTTGCTATTATATGTTACCTTTTCGAGCATTTATATAAACATAAAACTCCTTGTTTTGAAAACTTATTGCTCAGCGGGCTTATTTCATCGGGCAAATTCTTTATGGCCGAATGGTAGAATATTGAGATACCCAATCTGATTCAAATCTATTCAATTTAGTTTTTTTTTTGGATAATGTTAAGGCTTTTGAGTGGTTGGTTTGGTCCTTCTGTCATGAGAACATCCCCATTTGAATTGTTTTCAAGCAATATGATTTTTGTCCTAATTTTGTAAGTTTAATTTTTGTAATGGATATATGTGTTATTTTTTTGCAGGTCAGATTCACAAGCAGAAGTTGGAGATTGACAAGATCAAAGTGGAGAACTATGACCTGATGAGAGATGTGGTGTCCCTCAATGGGAAACTAGACAGAGCATTCCACGTCACAGATGAAATCATATTCAACGACGCAACGAGGGTGAGTTGTGTGTCTAGTGAGTAAAATTTAAAAATCACAGACCGAGTGAGGAAAATCTATTTCAGACTTGGTTCGGCTTTGTTGATTTTTATCGAGATTTTTTCTTTTACTAGCCCTCTATCAACAATACCTAAATTGTTTCGGTAAATAGGTATTTAGTTGCCCTACCGAAACCCGTCCTAATTGGAACCCGTGAACATACGAACCCTGTTATTATATCGTTATTGAATTTGTTTTGAAGATCCGATGAAATGTCAGATCATCTGCCCATTCATTTAAGGTTAATTTTATGATTTTAGAGTGAAATTCAGGAATATTAGTTTTTTATTCTGCTATCAGTTTACAAAGTGATTTCAAAAGATTCACGGTGAAGGTTGACGCTAACTACATGGTAACTACAAGTTTCTTCAATTTTAGGACGAGACAGCGAAGAAATGCTACAAGCTATTGGCAACATTGCATGAGAACTGCCAGGTAATAAACAGAAACCTCTGACTTGCTTTTCCCGGCAATCTGTTTAAACATTATTACACTATCTAAATTTAGAGAGGGTAATAGTACGACTGATTTTTTTCTTCTAACCTCAGTCGCAAATGTTGATGCGACTTTTGGGCCTCTTTGCAGCTTTTTTGATAGCATGTGCTTTATCATTGGATTAGTTTGGCATTGTGCTTCCGAATTTATTACATGCGTGGATGCCTTCAGTTTGTTGTATTCCAAATTATTACACGCTAAATTGTGTCTATTAGTATTTGGGGTCGCTTTTGCTGCATCGCATCGGCAATCTATAAGCATATGTCCAAGGTTCGAATCCGATACACAGCAAATTTTAAGTAATTCGATGCTTATTTCTACTTTTTCGTATTTCATTTTATAAAGTTGCCTTTTGTCGTGTTCTCGATAGTGTTTGTGAAACGCAGCTTCGCATCTGTGTTTAACTGGCGTTTGACCTACTTGGAGTTACAAAGCTGGCCTCCAAATATTACTGTTCATTCCTTCTGGGTTTCGAGATAAAGCGGTTTTTTATGATTTTTTCCCGAAGAACTTAGATTAAAAAATTAACAGAACTTGGAACTCTCAACACAATGGAGGTGTGCTTTCAGGGTACACTCTGGGATTGCACATATGGCCTCTAATTGTGATTGCTTAAAACCTTTTAAGAGCCGAGATATAACGTTTTGATGCTTTTTAATTTTATTTTGTTAAAAACATGGTTCAGCTGAAATACCTTTTAGATATAAACTGATTTTGTTTTGCCAGCTTTACTGATTTCTTTTGTCAGCGTTGCTGATTTTTTTTGTCAGTTTTGTTGAGAGTTGTAGGAACCAATTTTTTGTCGGCTTTTTTTACTCGATAAGTAAGTAAGTAAGATTTTTGATTTTTTTTCCAATTTTCTTTTCTACAGTTTCAAGCGAATAAATACAGTTCACGGGGTTTTTTGATATATGCTTAACTTTTCTGTTGGAAGAGAAATTTTTAGTTTTTTTTATGCATAATTTTTATTTATTTTTGTTCTGAAGTACCTGAAATCAGTTTTTGTTGTAATTACTTAGGTGTGATTTAGGTTTGAGCATTTTCGTTTTTCTTGATGGGCGCCTTTTTTCATCGTAATCTATTTTTGTTGCGAGCCAGCTCTCTTATGGTTGCCTATTAACTTCAGATTTGATAAATTTGATGCAATTGGGTTATTTTTGTAGGTTTCCAGAGTTTGTAGGTTTTCTGCAAGTTATTTTTTGTGGAATTTTGTATTTAAGTTATTTAAATTTCATTTGTTAATTTTTTTATTTTGATGTTTTATAGCAGATTGTTTGATTGAAAGATTTATAGCAAAGTTTTTGGGTGCATGTTCGAATTTTTTGAATATCGATTTTTGGATAGAAAATTGTTTCTTAGTTTCTATTATATCTTATCCCAACGATCTATTAGTTTGGGTATTAGTTTAGTCATACGATCGATTAGTTTCGTCATAGAAAGAAATAACTGATGTTTGAGTAGCTCGCATACTCATTATTTTTGGGGTTATTGATTTCTGTAAGAATTCATATAAAATTGTCCTTGATCTTATATCCTACGATTTATTCAGTAGACTTATTTATGTTCTGATCTTTGGCTTTTTACTTTGCATCGGAAGTAAAGAAAGAAAGAAAGAAAGAAAGAATTTATTTCTTCAGATATGATGCATACAAAAACATTTAACAATCAAACATGCGAACAAACTCTACAAAGCATCAATTAATCATCTGAAGAGGATAGACAAAGGTCAAAGATATGACCACTGGGTGTCTACCCTGAGTATAATAACAAACAAGAACTGAAGAAATAAAATTAGAAGAGCCTAAATTTAAGTGTTACCTTTTGTGTTATGGTGTTACAATTGTGCCTTTGTTATGTTCTTCAAAAACCCTGGTATCTCGAAATTTCTAAAGTCTTAGAAGCTCATCATCTTTTCAGCCAGTATTCAGAGCCTCATATGAGGTTCTGACAGCATCCAGTGACAGACGTAATGAGAAAAAAAATAAAAAATTCTCTCTCAAATCCGTCTAAGTACATGAGAAAATATAAATTTTTATAAAAATGTCGATATCTCGAAAACTAGCAAGTTTTAGATGCTCTTATTATCGCATTAGAATCCGAAGCTTAAAAGGGTTTCTGATAGCACCCAACTCAAGGGTTAAATATTTAGCATTAAACAGAAACGGGAAATTATTTAAACACATTTTGTACTAATTCATAATTACCAAGAATGTAGTTATCTCTAAACTTATGAACAAATAGAATTTCACCATTTCTTTCCATAAGGCCGAAGTTCTTCGGCAACAAGCTATTCTCACCCAAAATATTTAAGAGTTTTGAACCTCTGTATGTTAATGACTGTAATTTAGTTTTATTCTTGCAAAAAGGAGGACAAAAGGTAATAGAACTCGATTTTCTAGTATTGTATGCAAAGTTTTTCAGTGTAAACAACGAATTAAGATATGGATTTGGATTTCTATTATGAGCAGATCTCAAACAGAACTTCAGTAGATCATAAATATACAGTTCATGTACTGTTAATATTTTATTATCATAAAAAGTACTGGTAATGCTGTCATATTTTCTTTTGAAAAAAATCATTCTTATGATTTTTCTTTGAAACAAATGAATTTGATTGAGCGCTGCAAAGCTAGTTCCGCCATATACGAGCAAGCCATATTGTATAATTGGTTTAATGTTAGCATTATAATATTTCAACAAAACAAATTTTGGAACCAAATACCTCATTTTTGAAACAACACCACAATGTCTACCTAGTTTAATTTTCAATTTTTCAATGTGCTGAGTGAATGTTAACTTACAATCAACTATTACTCCTAAATACTTACATGCTGACTGAGGATTATACGCAATATTATCAATTTCAATTTTAAGGTTAGAAGCACTTCCATTATCAAAACTAATTAAGGTGGTTTTATCTGAATTAATTGTTAGTTTATTTAAATTCATCCATTCTGATATCTTTGTGACATCCTCTTGGAAACATTCAAACCTTGCGCTATTACTGGCTATGTTGGTATCATCCGCAAACAGAAAAACTTTTGAGCTAGATGCAGCAAGGTGCAAACCATTTATATACACCAAAAAGAGAAGGGGACCTAAAACAGATCCCTGGGGAACACCGGTGGTCACTGGCAACCAATCCGACGAATAGTCATTTATTTGAACACATTGAAATCTGTTGTTTAAGTAACTGTTAAACCAAGCGAGACAATTACCCCGGATACCATAATTTTCCAATTTACTCGAAAGAATTTTCATATCCAGAGTGTCAAATGCTTTCTTCAAGTCAACAAATAGGCTGCATTTAATTTTCTTGTCTTTACACATTCTTAATCTTTCAGTTAATTCAGCTAACGCATCAATGGTTGCAAACTTTTGCCGGAAACCAAATTGTCCTTCGTAAATAATATTAAATTTTTCAAGGTAATTATACAACCTAGAGTGCATGATTTTCTCGAAGATTTTGCCACAGCTATTTAAGAGTGCTATTGGACGGTAATTGCTAATATCCAATTTGCTTTCAGATTTATGCAGAGGCATAACTTTGGCATATTTCAGCGCCTGAGGAAAGGTGCCACTTCTAAATGATAAGTTAATTAGATAAGTTAAGTAGGGAGCTAGAACAAAACAGGTTTTAATGAGGAACATGTTACTTATTTCATCCATGCCACAAGAATTTGTCGGTTTCAGGCTATTAATAGTGTTTAAAATCTCGACAAACGAGCATTCAAAAAGGTACATAGAATGAGTCACACTTTCAGTTGGGACGACTTTATTGCCACAGGCAATTTTGTTTTTGGCAAGCTTTAATCCAATTGTAGCAAAGTAGTCGTTGAAAGCATTGGATATGGTGTGCGGATCAGAAACATTAGTCCCTTCTAACTGTATGGTGGGTACCTTTGAACTTCCTTTTTGTTTACCGTTTATTTCATTTAACAACTTAAATACCTGTCTCGAGTCTCCGATACAATTGTTAAATCTTTTAAAGTAATACTCTTTTTTTAGTTTTCTTATCATTAATTCAACGTTTTTCCTTTTATTGTGGAAATTGTTTTCATTTTCAATATTGCTAACATCAAGTTTCCAAATTTTGTGTAGTTTGTTTCTTTTTAAAATTGCATTTTTCAATTCTTTACAAAACCACGGCGCGTTAACATTTGTACGTTTGACTTTTGAATTTCTTATCGGTGTAAATATATTAATGCTTGAAAGCAAACATTCACTAAATGCATCATAAGCAACATTTATGTCGGGTTCATTGACTACATGAGATTGTTCTAGCATTTCTTTTATAAGAATTATAAAGTCATTCAGGGATTTCTCCTTTTTTAAAAAGGACATGTCACGATACGTTGAAGATAATAATTCATTTTCTGTCAAACTAAATTGAAGGACGATTGGGCAATGATCCGAAAAGCATTCATTTTCTAGGGTTCTTATAGATGGATTGCGAATATTGCATGCTATTATATGATCAATACATGTTCCATTTTTTCCAGTGATGCGAGTTTCATTTTTATTTAAAGTGTTGCAAAGCTCAGCTTCGCTACTGTGTGATTCTTTAAATTCGAAAAGCTTTTATAAAGTCATATCCATTTTTCTTTGAACTTGAATGTTTCTTTTTTGTTTTGAAGGAGTAGTTTTGACCTTTATAGTTTGCCGCCAGTTCTCTACGAGTCCGATGCCAAAAAACTGAAATGAATCAATAGTGTTGTCTTAGTAATTTTGCCGACGATACTGGTCCTTGATAAACACTACTTCTTTTATCCTACTTGTTTGTAGGGATTGATTTCAGCTTTTAAATGTGTTAAGGCTCTGCTGTCGGGTATTGATGAGACAGCCTCTCTGAATAGAGAGGTCAGGGAACTGGAGGACCAGATAGACCTGGAGAGCAAGAAGAAGACTGTAAAGAACCTGGAGAAGATGAAACAGGACTTGGAACAGGTAAAACGCGAGAGGGAGGTTGAAGGAAGAAAGGGTACATCGTCATAACAGAATGACAGACAGATGCGAAAAGCGAAAAGTCTCTAAAATTCAAATTTCACTAAACTTTCAAGCGCTTTTTTGAATATTTGAAGATTGAATTATGATTTACTGACATAATTACTTTCGGGAAGAACTTAAGAAAAAGTGGAAGGAAAATCTTGAAGTTCAAGTAAAATATTCTGTTGAGTATTATGGTCTCCTTCAGAATGAAATTTTGTCCATGAAAAAATAAAAATTAGCGAACTTTGTAGTCCTCGAAGTTTTAATGTTTGGCGAGCTTCAAGTTCAAGTTAATGGTACTGAGAGATGGCAGAAAAATGGATTATTTTTTAAGATATCCTACAGTATCAAAGCAAACGAGATAAAATAAACAACGAATATAAGCAAGGATAGCCGGTTGCTGTGCATGTAGCACAGAATGTTCCGAACACATATAAATGTGTCCATAAAAAAGCTGTCATAAAAAGTTGAAGTTTTTCTATTTCTTCAATTTAGTGTCGTTTTTGTGGGTGTTGTGACGAGAGAACTATACAAATGCCTGTAAAGTTAGCGAATTAGGCATAATTGTTAACAGTTATCTTCAAAAAATGAAAAACAACAAAAACATCAAAAAAATTCTAGAAGTTTTAATTTTTTTTTTCACAATGTTTTGAATATTTTAGAAATTTTTTATAGCAACAGTAGCGCTAAATGAGGCTTCTATAATTTTCATCCTTTTTAAAATCAAGTTTTTAGCTTATTTGGTCATTTGCTATTAATTTTATATAACGAACTTTACTAGATCGCGTTACTTGCTCGAAATTAGACCACATCTCAAAAATTTCCTACCAGTTTTTCTCACACTGGAACAGCTTTTTAAAGTGTTTCAAATGTTGTTCGAATCTAGACTGAGAGGACTTTACTATGATATACCTAGCAACCCATTCCGTTGATTATTTGTGGTACCTGGTTTTTTATAAGGAAAAAGAATAAAAAAAACTAAAATACACCCGATTACAAAGTTCCTCTCCATTTTCAGTTGTCGCAATAATGATACTAATATACTTGAAATGAGATCTACTTTTTAAATGAAAACTGAGCGTCCCCATTACATTAAAAAATTAGCTTGCTTACTTATTACTCAACTGTAGAAACATTTTGAACTCATATTTCAGATAGGAAAAGAACTGTTTTCTAATGCATCCAGGGGTATTCTGAAGTTGATTTAAAGCTGATTTGTTTAATTTGTAAACATTTGTTTTTGTTGTGCAGGTGAGGCAGGAGAAGAAAGATAAGTTGGAGAAACAAAGACAGATGCAGAGAAACGCATACATGTCCACGGGTAGTCAGAGGGAAGAGAACGAGAACGGTCGCAGTTCATCTTCAGGTATTACTATCGAGTGTGGAAAATTGGTTTAATTTGTGCTGAGCTAAATTGGTCGAAAGGTACAAAACAGCCAAAAAATACGTCATGATTTGATTGAAATTTTCAAGTCGTGTTAGCCTTTTTCAAGTTGAGTTGAAATAGTGAATCTATCAAAGAAGTGTTTTAGTACAAACCTTCTTTTTCGCTGACATAACTCGCAAATAAAAGTGTTCATTGAAGGTGGAGAGTGTTCACCTATTTGGTGGAACGTTTGGTGTTATCACGATGTGTAGCATTGGAGCTTTCATTACACTTGCGAAGCGAGTGTATTAGTACGAACCTTTTTTTCCAACCTAAGTCACAAATTTGGTGCTACTTTTGGGGCACCTTTACATCTTTTTCATAGTATGTGCTTTGATATTCGTTATAAATCGTTTGGCAGTATTAAGTTAACATTGGTTTGACAGTAATAAGTTAACATAGTTGATGCGTTTTTAATTCATCAAATGAACCGAAAAAAACTATTAGTTTCAAACAGCAGTACAATGAACAAAAAGCTCAATTTTAGAAATTTTCCAATTCTTTGTATCTCGAATTTGTTTTTGAAATGCATAATTTATGCATAATTTGGCTTTTTTCCATTTTATTACATGCAAAATTGTGTCTTTTTGTATTTGGTGCTACTTTTGCTGCATCGAATTGGCAATTTATTAGCATATGTAGCTGCGTTATTGGTGGCTAGTTTTTGAGGATTTTAAGCATCCGTGGCTGAGTGGTTAGTGCGTGAGACTCAAATTTGATAGGTCGATGATTCGAATCCGACACGTAGCCGAATTTTTGCTAATTTGAGGCTTATTTCTAATTTTTCTTATTTGACTTGATAGAGCTGGTTTTTGGTCGTGCTCTCGCAAGTGTTTTCGAAGCGCAGCTTCGCCTCTGTCAAAAAAAATAGTATTGATAAATTGTTTGCAAAAATTGAGGATTTTTAAGAGCATCACATCATTTGTTTCGTTGAAAATCGAAAACTGCGGCAATTTTTTTCAAAAAAACTGAAGTCAGTATATTTTTGTTTACTTGTTTTCATTGACTCCCATGGACTTCGTAGACGTTTTGATGAGCAACAAGGTTGTCCTCAAATAATGCCACATTTTTGGAAGTGTATAAAAGCTTTTTCTTTCTTTCCCTCTCATCGCCATATGATGCTGGCAGTCAGCCCTCATTTCAGAGACTAGAACCACATTCTAGGATATTTTCAGCATCCTTGTCGCGGTCTTTCTCAGTCTTGCTGTTTCTTTCTCTTACAGTTACCTCTTTTAGGTTCCACGTTGTGATGTGTATTTTATCCTGTTTTAGTTGATGTGTTGCTTTGCTTTGCGATTTCCGTTCGTCGTTGCCTGCGATTTTCCTTGTGAATCTCGTCAGGCCTTCTGATTTTTCCTCTTCGCTTTTTGACTTTTAATATTCAGGACCTTGTGTAGGTTCGACACAAGCATTTCGTTCCCTCAGATTCATGATGTGAGGTCTCCGTGGTAAGCTTTCACGGAAGGCATAAAATGCTCTTCGGTTTGCGGCCCTAGCAGAAGGAAGTTTCCGGGCGGGGTTGATCAGGGGTAGTGTTCCCCTCGTTGACACTTCCTTTTGCTCATGTGCGAGGCTGACACGGGTGGGAGATCCGTTCTCTCCTGTTCGTTTGCCGTTGTATCGCTTGGTATCCAGGCGGCGTGGAACTGGTTTTGTTCCCCATGAGTAGTCACCGCTTGATACTCCCGTGCGAGGTGAGCACTGACAGCTGGTTGACATTTTTGCACTCGAAAGCAAATCTAGTTGCTTTGCAGAGGTCCCGTAGTTTTTCTTTTGGAGCCTACTGCATTTCTGGGGAATCCACCTAAGGCACCAAGTGCTTTGTATACTGTTTGAAATTTCTCTCTTTTTGCATACCCCGGAGTGGTGGAACACGGGTTCAACTCTGTCTCCAGCTTTCAGTATTAGGCGGATCAAGTAAGCTGGTTTACCTGATCCGCCGGACAAAAATCCGCATGGACATTGTTTCGCCTGATTGACATTGGGGAGGTTTTGGTCTCTGATTTGTTTTGAGGAGGTGCTTGGGTTATATGGTCCTTTGCCGCTCCGTCGACTGTTGCGAGGTTGTGTCCGAGATATTTCCATGGAACAAGCATTCCTTTTGCAACGGTCCTTGTGTATGTTTGGCCGCTCTGCTCGCACCCGTGCGTTCCCATTTGCACTGATTGGATGCCATACACATATGTAAGCCTTAACAAATTGGGTTAATTTTTTTTGTGTACTCGCTTTTATTGACTCTCGTGGACTTAATAGACGTTTTTATGAGAAGTCTCCAGTTTTTTATAAGTTAATTTACTCGCCACTTCTGAACAAACTAGTGAAGGCTATTAACTCAGACGAGTCGTCGTCGCCGTAGCCACTCACCATCACTAACGTACGCTCTCTCCGTCTGCAAATTTTTTGAATGTCTTTTGTGTGAATTTTAAGTTTCACATTGCGAATATCACTCGGGCCTTTTATACATCCGTTTTATGTGGATTCGAAGGCCTTCTTGGTATTGACATAGTTTCCTGCTTAATTCAGAAGGGTCGGTTATTACATTTGGGTCGTAGGTATTTCTTTCTATGCTATCGTCTCTAGAACTTTTTGCTTCTTTTTTCCCATTCCTACAGGTGTTCCATTCGCTCCTTGACCTTTCGCCTCCATCGTTTCGTGTCTTGTGTCAGCCTGTCGATCTCTGCTTCTCTCATTAGTTTCCACCAGTACAGGAGAGTTTTCTCTTTCTTTCCACGACATTTTGATAATGATTCTAGTTGTTAGTTTTGCCATACAGCAAATGCTTTGCACTTTTTTCCCTGGCTTGGGGAGGCCATTGCCTTCGGTTTTTGAAGGAGGTTTAGGGTCGGCTGGGCCCTTTCCACTCCGCTGGCATTCAGGAGGCTGCTCGTGTTCTGTTTCAAGTGGTTGCCCCTTTTCCCGTGAAGTTCCTGTTCCGGTGCCCCTGCGTGAATATTCGCCCGCACGTGTTTTCGATTTTTTGAATGTTATTTGGTGCCACTAAACTCGAGAAAGTGTTTCCCTGTTAAAAATAGTTCTCAATGTTAATAGCTTGCACTGAGAAATTTTTGTTCTCTTTGAACTGTTGGTGGTTGAGCCCTGTTCACCTTTATATGCTCTGTTTGTTTCATCGTCTTGGTACTTGAGTGGGAGGGGTTGACAACTCGATGCGCAGAGTAAATCAGTGTCAAAGTTTATATAATAGCTGTTTGTTTAGGTGGTGTTGGAAAAGCAGGTGACGATAGGGGGTCCAAAGAACCACTACATGCCAACACAGAAAACGACAATGAGACTGAGCCCCATATACAACACGAACCTGTAGCTGCACCCCGCTTTGTTCATCCTCTTGATGCTCTTTCCTGATTGAAAAACAAATCTCAATCTATATTTGGTGCTAAATTTGTTTTTATGTTCTTCGAGTTTGTTTGATATAATGTTAAAAGATACGACCGTTAGTCTAGCAAAATAATGTTTGTGTCTTGAAATTGGGAAAGCCAATTAGAGGTTCGTCATAATTTATAAATTTCCTGAAAACCTTAACAGTGAAATGATCTTGAAATTAGAAACGGAGCAGAAATTAGAAGTCTTTTCACACCTTAAAATTCTTCATATTATGTTTTTTGTAGCGCGACGAAGATAGTAAGGTTGGGCCCAGCAGGCGTTAACTTGTGTTGTATTTGTGGGTTGTTTTTTGTTTTATCTAAATATGTCACGTATCAACTATAGCCTCAACTCGTTTTAATGACAGATTGCCAAACTAATGTCAAAATAAATTTAATGACAGATTGAGTTATAAACACGCATAACTTAGAAATTTAACTGAAACTAAAGTGAAACGTTCATTTCAACTCAAGGTGTTCTCGAGAACACCGTCGGATCATCGAATATTTCAAATGTTACAAAAATTGAGTAAATAGTTGTGCGGTCAATCTTCTTTAATCGAGTTAAAATGATTCGGGCCATAACATTTTATTAGCATTTTCGGCTATACAAACCATTCGTGTCGTAATCCGTAAAAAAATCTGCTATAAATCGCATTCATAACATTAACTTTTTCGGTACAAATTTTGAATGATGAATTGGCGCAAATTAGCCAAAAAAACCGGTGATTGTCCTTGAGACAAATTGCTCTAAACCAAATTAGAGCGAAAAAACTGTTGAAAGCGGTCAAATGCGAATCTAGCCCCTCGAGTTTACATATATTACGGTCTGGGTATGGGGGATTCGAACCCGGTTGACCGGCGTGAGAGACAAGTCTCTTGGCCGCACGACCATTAGTTCTTATAATTAGAAATAGCACGCTAAATTATTATTTGCATTTGCGGAAGAACAGGAGCCAGCTTTACTGTCGGGCGGGTCAGGTCGCTCGTAAAGGTCTTTATGTCGGCGGATCGAGCGCAGCTGTCCTTGCCATAGTGCACTTTGATAACATGGGCGAGTGGGTAGTGCCCACGTGGAATGTTGGGCTCAACGAACCAAACCAAGTCCCCTGTTTTCAACGTGACGTCCGAATTGTTCTGCTACTTTGATCTTTTATTGAGGGAATGTACATGTTCGTGCAACCAGCGTGACCAAATGGCGTTAGCGTATGATTGTGCCTTAGCATAACGCTCCTTTTGGTCAAAGTTTTCTTCAAGCTGTGTGTTGGCTAAGTATGAAGTGATTGGGTGTCAAAGCCTCAAAGTGCTAACGGCTGTGATTGGTCTCGCGTTCAATGTTTTCTTGACCAGGCAAAGTGTGGTTCCTAAAACCTCTCCAAAGTTTGGTCACTATTCTGTTGCCTAGAATATCATTGAGTACCCGCTTGACACTTCTCATTAACCGCTCCTAAACCCCGCCGTGGAACGGCGCACGGTGGATTAAATTTTTTTATGGGCAAAAATTGCTGGAGCAAAATGTTCCAATTTTCGATGGTAGCAAGAAGTTCTTTTGAGCACCCACGAATTTTTTGCCGTGTTGGAAAGAACAGTTAAGGGAGTGCCGCGCCTTGCAATGAATCAATCGACGCCCGTAACGCAGGAGCTTGTGTTGAGAGATGGGACCACTTCGATATGTACCGCTCTAGTCGTGAGGCAAATGAATAAAAAACGCCATCTTTTCTCAGTGCTTTTGCGTATCGGAACTAAGAACGGACCGAAGTAATCAACGCCCGTATTACAGAAAGGGGCTTGATTGTAACCCAACGTTTCAACTGGCAGATCAGACATAATCGGGCAGACGGTTTTGGCTTTTCGCTATCGGCATGTTTCAATGTTTCAGAGCAACCAACGAAGCTTCAGAACTGTGAATTTCAAATTTACTATCGCACGCATATAGTCCAAACCCTGATGGAAATGCTTAAGATGCAATTGTCTCATCATCAACCGAACCAAAGGGTGGCATGCATCTATTATTATTGGATGCTTACTATCATTTTCGGTATCAATCAAACGACTGATGCGCCCAGTTGAGCGAATGATTGCTGAATATTTGGCAATTCTGCTGTTTTTTTGTAATGGTTTTACCACTATTAAGCAATCTCATTTCGATGGGGAACGACTCAGACTGTGCAAGATAGATCAGTTTTTGTTCCGCTAAATCGATCTCAGCGGGATCTATTATTTTGATAGTGTTTCAGCAAAAGTGTCTGTGCGAGGGCAGCAGACGCAACAAAAACGCCACTGCACGTTTGTGTTTCACAATTGAGTTTAATTTGTCCCAATTGTCAAATTCGATACCGAAAGTAGATGCACGCTCAAGAAAGGTGTCAATGTTACATGTGGGACCTTCCAGTCGGATTTTACTGATAACTCTTGTGTCCGGTTTGAAAGGCCAATCAGTAGTTCTTATTATACTCGGGTCATTAACCCAACTGCTTTCCTTGAGGGCTTCCGAAGAAGTCCCTCGTGGACCTACATCAGCTGTGTTATCACCACTTAGTATATGATGCCATTGATCTATTGCGGTAGACTCCAGAATCTCACCAGTGCGATTGCCAACAAACACAGGTAGTTTTTTGCACGAGTTAGGCTTTCATAGCAGATCAAAAGCGCTTTCATAAATGCTACGCGGGCTTTGCCAAACACGAAGGTTAATTCGTCCTTATGCGAACTCATAAATCGAGCACGAAGAAAGGAGACGGCGCAGAACACATTAATCACCGAACATGTGGAGTTAGATATGGTCGAAACGCTCTGTGAAATAATTACATTTTATTATCCGAGTGCCTAACAATGGAAAGCCTGAGTGCTACTCAAGGAGCTGCTGTTTCATATTCTCTGGAGATCATCGTCCTATTCTTGGCCGTTGATTCACCATAAGTCTTTTGATAGCTGACCAGCCAGCACGGTATGTGGGGCTACTATTCCAATGGGTTCGATAACCGAGGTTACAAAACTAACTACAGTTTGCTAGGTTATTGCTTTGTCTATGGTCGATCAACATCTCCACTGACTACTAAAGTATCTTCACTATGATCCCACTTGAGACCGACGACATGCGATGACTGTTCTGGACTCAAGCAAATATATTTCACCGATGAGTTTGACTCGCGGGTGTCCGGGTTGAGGAGGGTTGCTATTGAGAGGTCATTGCTGATTGATAATTTTTGTCAAATTAAAACCACCTAGTTTATATAGTGATACTTAATCCCTGCTTATTTTCAGTGCTTGTTCATTGTTTTCGGAAGAGTCTAGGTAGTCATCCATGTAGAAATTGCGAAAGACAGCTAAAGCAGCTTCGGGGTATGCGTCTTGAAAGTCAGATGCAGTCTTCTGCCATGCATAATCGTATATGTTGGCGAATCATGAGCGCCAAAAATTTGATGTGTGTTTTGGTATTTAGAAATAGCACGCTAAGTTATTATCTGCATTTGCGGAAGAACAGGAGCGAGCTTTACTGTCGGGCGGGTCAGGTAGCTCGTAAAGGTCTTTATGTCGGCGGATCGAGCGCAGCTCTCCTTGCCATAGTGCACTTTGATAACATGGGCGAGTGGGTAGTGCCCACGTGGAATGTTGGGCTCAACGAACCAAACCAAGTTCCCTGTTTTCAACGTGACGTCCGAATTGTTCTGCTACTTTGATCTTTTATTGAGGGAATGTACATGTTCGTGCAACCAGCGTGACCAAATGGCGTTAGCGTATGATTGTGCCTTAGCATAACGCTCCTTTTGGTCAAAGTTTTCTTCAAGCTGTGTGTTGGTTAAGTCTGAAGTGATTGGGTGTCAAAGCCTCAAAGTGCTAACGGCTGTGATTGGTCTCGCGTTCAATGTTTTCTTGACCAGGCAAAGTGTGGTTCCTAAAACCTCTCCAAAGTTTGGTCACTATTCTGTTGCCTAGAATATCATTGAGTACCCGCTTCACATTTCTCACTAACCGCTGCTAAACCCCGCCGTGGAACGGCGCACGGTGGATTAATTTTTTTTTATGGGCAAAAATTGCTGGAGCAAAATGTTCCAATTTTCGATGGTAGCAACAAGTTCTTTCTGAGCACCCACGAAATTTTTGCCGTGTTGGAAAGAACAGTTAAGGGAGTGCCGCGCCTTGCAATGAATCAATCGACGCCCGTAACGCAGGAGCTTGTGTCGAGAGATGGGACCACTTCGATATGTACCGCTCTAGTCGTGAGGCAAATGAATAAAAAACGCCATCTTTTCTCAGTACTTTTGCGTATCGGAACTAAGAACGGGCCGAAGTAATCAACTTGCTATTGAGAGGTCATTGCTGATTGATAAATTTTGTCAAATTAAAACCACCTAGTTTAAATAGTGATACTTAATCCCTGCTTATTTTCAGTGCTTGTTCAATGTTTTGGGAAGAGTCTAGGTAGTCATCCATGTAGAAATTGCGAAAGACAGCTAAAGCAGCTTCGGGGTATGCATCTTGAAAGTCAGACGCAGTCTTCTGCAATGCATAATCGTATATGTTGGCGAATCATGAGCGCCAAAAATTTGATGTGTGTTTTGGTAAATAACCACATTTGATGTGGGGTCCTCCCGCCATAAAAACGGAGACAATGTTGATCTCGCTCAAGAACTCCAACTTATAAGAACATCCCTTCAATGTCGGCTGAAACGGCATATTTATATTTTCGGAAACGTAAAAGTACAAAAATGAGATTTTGCAGAAGATCCGGGCCAACCATGAGAGGTTTTTTTTCATGAAGTTCTATTGAACTTTTATGCCCCATTTAGGACGCGGCGCACCTTGCTGGGTTTGTTCGGGTTCAACACCGGTTGATGCGGGATATACCATTCGCGGTCGGTTCGTGAACTGGGATCATGTTGGCGAAAACTAATGACATATCTCTTTTGAATATCATCTCTAGTGTTTTCTGCATATTTTTCACTGAGTGCATCTTTGTTTATTTTCTTTCTAACGACTTAAATTGTGCCAGCGAAGAGAAGTAAATATGATCCTTACGGCTTTGCATAAGTACTTCTGTGAATTCTCTTGCCGATGGTAGACGCTCAAATGACGCGCCAGAAAATATGTCAGGATTGGTTGCTGGGTAACTAGATGAAAAACCATGATAGATAACACTGGCTTGTGCAAGTTGACGGATGTTATTGGTGTTGAGTAACTACCTGGGAAAACTTGAATGACTGTGCTTAGATTTAGAGGACCTAACTCAGCGGGTCCACCAAAAAACATTCCCTGTCACTGGCCGCAGTGTGGCCAGTATTCACACAATTCGGAAAATTCGTTGCTATGAAAGAATAGGTATTTGCAGATTGATTTTGATCTGGGACCAGATTTACTTCCGGCGCTGACTCGAAACGGCAGGAGGATCCGATTTAGTTTCAACAACAAAATCAACCCAGTTCCGGATACTGTGTTTATCTTTGACAACAAGTTGCGGACTGACTTGCGTTAAACTACTCTTGTCAGTTTTCTCACTCATATCGACAGCTCTTCCTCGAACTCAAAGCCTTCCAACTTAATGTCTGGCCTCTTCTTTCTATGTTCTTCAGCCACCTCCTTTGACTCTAGATTACTCTGCTGTTCTAAGTAGTCAATCTTCGTTCTCTTCTGCTGTTCTTTCAATCTTATTGAAACTTTGGCCTGCCACGCAAGTTCTTCCTGCCTTTTCTTTATAATTAGCAACTCCCGTTTTTTGTCACATGAGGTTTTTGATGGAGCGTCCGTATAGCGAACAGATATATACGACCCTTATTTTTCATGTCGACTGCTCTGCTCTGACAACTTCGATTGGCTGTGTGATACAGGTGACTCGGTTTTTTCAGTGTTTTTTGGCTGGTGCGAAGTCCTAGAGGCGTTATCTATCTCATGCTTCTCGGGTGCGACATTGACGCTTGCTTTGTAAGATGTAGCTTCCTACAAAATCTTATCGTCGGTCTGAATCAACTCATGGAGCCACATATCGTGTCCAGGTATTAACTTAAGAGTTTTTACTTTTACCGGCTACAGTTATCAGTTCCTGAATCATCTCAACCGCTTCCTCTGTGAAGCTCTGACATTTTGCAATATAAGTGTCAATTTTTGAGAATTGACTCTGGCTTTCAACGTACTCTAAGATAACATCATGACATTTATAAA